TAATCGAGTCTGGACCAGACAATCCAGTGATCAGCAGCAGGAGCATCGACCTGCTCAATTGGGAACCGATGACGTGTGTCAACCAAGCCAGCGAGCCTGACCACCCGATCCCGTTAGTCGCCTCGTACGACAAGCATGGGTTACTGTAGATCAATTCTAACCCGGATCTTCACGGGTTCCGGCAGTGTGCAATTACAACAAAGTCCTGTCTTGGTTAAACAATGGAGTGTGAATGTGTTGTCATTGTCGGTGATATCACAGTGACATCATGGCGGATGTGTATGTACTGACGCTCACTAGCGGTTTGATCTTGACATACGACATCCGCGAAGTCTTTCACTCACACAGGTCACATATTTTAAACATTTTTCCCTAATCTGCGTCAGCACTTGAAGCAAAGGGGTAATAGATAACTGCTTGTGCATGATGGTCTGGATACGGTAAATAATGGGATGTCTGTTTATGCTAAACTCAACGTTTTCCATTTTCGAACGGAACGACCGGAACCAGGGCAGGTAATAGGTCCCGTGAATCAGGTTTTTAGTACATACTGCAATGCATTTACGTGAGTACCATCAACGACAACGCTAGGAAGTGTTACATTGCTCACGAATTAAGATACAAATTGAGAAGATGCTGATTTGGTCATCAGGTAGTGCACATACTGAAGCTGAATGTTGTGTGTGTTTGCTGTTGAATGTCTCTCCGCAATCTTCCAGCTATATGACGACGGTGTGTAAATACCCGAGTCTGAACTAGACAACTCAGTGATTGACGCCATGGCCATTGATTTACGCAATTTGGAACCGACGCCATGCCCCAAGGACGTCAGCGAGCGGACAATGTGATCCCGTTAGTCGCCTCTGACGTCAAGCATGGGTTGCCGATCATCAGTTATCACTCGAATCTTCAGTGGTATAGAATTAGTCGGAAAGAATCGTGTATTCTATGGAGTATTGTGAGTTAAATGCTACCCTTTTTACGAAACGCAACCCAAATTACCACCCTTCGATTTACAGGATGCTTAGCTGTGATTTGTTTTCAGTTCAATGTGACAAACACCCATATAGTTCAATATGAAGCAGCCTCACATTGAAATAAGATGCCATCGGAAGTGCTGACGTCACTCAAGTATTTTTCAACTGTTCAGGTCTATGATTATCAGTTCTGCATGTTGTAATTGTGTGGGGTCAAGTTCGTTCATTTATGGACGCTGTATGAGAATGCATCCTAGGGCGCCGATTCATAATGAAACTTAAGAACTCCGACAGTCATCAGCTGAAGGGGCGGTGGGGTAGCCTAGTGGTTAAAGCGTTGGCTCGTCATGGGGGGGCCATGGAATGTTCGTGCAACATCCAAGCTCTCGCGGCTGGGCGAGTGAACATCACCACCCACTGACTCGTTGAACGCTTCTAGAAGATCTGGTGGGTCAATGTCATATCTGGTCGCACAGACGAAGATACCAACAACCCATACGTCGCTGTACCGCCTTCAGAAGCCAATGCCGTTTCTGAAGATGCATTGGTAAAGTGAATCGGATGAATGTACACTCAGGTACACCAGTGTATATCAAGAGATGGCCTGTACCGCCTTCAGAAGCTAATGCCGTTTCTGAAGATGCATTGGTGAAGTGAATCAGATGAATGTACACTCAGGTACACCAGTGTATATCAAGAGATGGCCTGTACCGCCTTCAGAAGCTAATGCCGTTTCTGAAGATGCATTGGTGAAGTGAATCAGATGAATGTACACTCAGGTACACCAGTGTATATCAAGAGATGGACTTCCCATTTCCCGAACTTTTATCAAGTGTTGTTTAACCAATTATCTAGATAAGGCATTGATCTAATTTTGATAAATTCTTGCGGTACCACGAGCGTGTAGTTGACAGAAGACACTTCATTGTTTTGTCCAGTAAAGCCACGCAGTGTAATATTCCAGCTATAGTCATGTAGTCGTCACAAAACATTTAGTAACCCATTTAAGTTTTTGTATTTTAGTGTGGGTATGCCACTCAAGAAACTTAAATGAGTTTTGTCATATTTTATTAAAAGTATACAATTTAAACACATGACTATTGAACGTTTTTACATGATGCATTGTGTCGGATGATGGATACATGAATGAATTACAGTTTATACCGTGTTTTATGTTGAAATGGAAGGGGGTTAAATGTGGAACGTCGTGACGAACGTGGACTGTCCTCTTGACGAGTTGAAACGTCAGACTGAAAGAAATCTATTCAAATACATTCCAATCGTGCTTATATTCCGCTGAATAGTCGCGCCAACATCCGGCATGATATTTCCGTCACATATATGTTGTGCTCAATATCGAATACGTCAACGGAAACTGAACAGGGAACGAGGAAGTTTGCTAACTGTGGGATTGTATACCCAAATAACTTTACGTAAATATGGAGAACATACTAGTAAATGGGATGATTTAAACTACCATATTTAGAGTGAGTTTAGTTTTACGCCGCACTCAGCAATATTCCATATATATGGCGGGGATCTGTAAATAATCGAGTCTGGATCAGACAATCCAGTGATCAAGAGCATGAGCATCGAATAACGCACTTGGGATACGATAGCATGTGGCAACCAAGTCAGCGAGCTTACCACCCGATCCCGTTAGTCGCCTCTTACGACAAGCATGGGTTACTGAAGATAACCCGGATCGTCACGGGTCTAATAGGTATGGCTCAACGTTGAATAACTACTGTACAGCGAACAAGACTGATATACATTTTGAATATCGGTAATGACAGAGTCATGGTGGTAAGGTTTAGTTCGAGGGAATAACAGATTTCGGAATTCGGAATTCAGTAACAAAAATTGATTCATGGAATGGAATATCAGAGTGAGTCCCAACCTGAACCACCAGACTGGACACAGGACGCTGTCTTGTTGTATAAATATATCTTTAGGGTTTTGATACAGAACTTCGTTGGCATTTCACTGTATGATGTATATGAAACTGTTTAAGAACCTGGATCTGCAAAAGCAGTTGACACAAGGAAACCACCAATGACGGTTCCCAAAATAATGAGCTGACAAGAGGGACCTACACCGGTTGCCTTTTACACTCAGTAAAGGCGGCGTAAAAGGAAACTCACTCACCTTGGTCTTGGTTTAACACTGCTTTCTAAACACTCTTCCGGCTATGTCATAGCGTGTTTTTTCTTCTAATGTGAATCCCACAAGCAGTGGCATAGTGCTGACAAACCTACGAAGATAATCGGGATGAGTGTCATTCGAACCTATAACCATAGGTCAAGGGTGTGTCCAAGGGCCACAACTCTGCACTGCAAATTGCGGCGTATAATACCACTGGGTTCAGTATGCCCCCTGCTCAAATGTACTTATTTCTTCCTTTCATATTGCTGTAGTTTATCTCTCATTAAAAGTCAGATGGTCTTCTAATCTGGAGGAAGGGCTTCAGGAACTGTGCATCAGTTCACATCTCACGTGTTTCGCGAGAAATGGTTTCCAACCATTTATTATCTTCATTTTGTTTACAATTCAACGCGGGATATGTCTTTTTTTATATATCCGTTGCTGTTGATTTCATCAAGAGTGTTTCTTGACGTGCTTTCATGACGAAGGTATTACGTACCTCTACCGGCTTCACTCGGATCCCAGCGTTGGGATCAAGTTGATTTTACACCAATTTGTGTTCGTGATAATCACTGACGTCACGGTGATTCTGTTATCTGTTCATGCCGCCAGTGCAGGTGGAGTATCTTGTAACGGAACAGGGGCAGATCCAGGGTTTTGGAGAAGGGGGTGGGGGTGGGGTGCACATATAAATCATGAAGTCCAAAGGTTAGAGGGAATGGCTCCTCAGGGAATGGTTTTACCCTCCCCTGTTGAACAGTTTGAATATGTGAGTGGCAGACGTGTTCCGGGTACCTTGTCAGTCGGTCCAAGTTAAGGATTTTATGGACGTTTCGTTCAAAACACGTCAGTTATTTATGAATGAACACTGTTTCCCGAAATAAGCCATTCTATAGTCAACAAATCCTCTAATTTCACTCATGCAATCGAATATCAGGGTTATTTTCACTACCAGAAGTACTACCAAAATCCCGTTATGTTTTCAGAGCAACATCCAACAATAACGCGGGTACCAGAAAGAAGTTATCACTGTGTATCATCTATTACATCAGATCCAAATATGGCTGTTTTGGGTGCACTGACGCTGTAAAATAGGTAGACCTTTCAATGCCGTCATCTTTACTGGTACACATAATTTCCTGATTGACTACGGTACAAGAATCTGTATCGAAACGCCGCAATCGCGCTTGTTATCCCCAAAATTGTCTATATCCGTCCATACGGTATATTTGCTTCTATGAATCCGCCCATTTTATCCAATGTAACCCCACAGAGCGTATTTACCTGTAATCATCAGTGCAAGCCTATATGTGACCAGGTTGGAATAACGACCCCTAACCATTCCATTTGAAGACTAGGTTCCAGAACACTGAGTAAGTCGGGGAGTTTTGTTTGTTGTTCAACACCACGCTCAGTAATAATTCGACCTTAATTGATTGATTAAATGATCGATACCATGAGCATCGCCCTACGCAAACGGGATAAGATGAGTGAGTGAGTTTAGTTTTACGCCGCTTTTAGCAATATTCCAGCAATATCATGGCAGGGGACCCCAGAAATGGGCTTCACACATTGTACCCATGTGGGGAATCGAACCCAGGTCTTTGGCGTGACGAGCGGACGTTTTAACCACTAGGCTACCCCACGCCCGGATAAGATGACACGCATCAACCATATCTTCATTAACCTGACCACCCAATCCCCTTACTCGCCTCTTCTGACAAGCATGAATGACATGCTGAAGCCGAATTATTGTAAACCGGATCTTTACAGGGTCGACAGGACACCAATTAGGATGTTTTAACCAACAGCATTTTCCAAGAAGTAATCCTTTTAAACATAAACCTTTTCTGTTTAACACAAAACAAAACCAGCACGAAAGGAATCGTCCATCTATTCAATGACATGACACATACATCACAATGACCCGACACATACATCACAATGACCCGACACATACATCACAATGACATGACACATACATCATAATGACATGACACATACATCACAATGACATGACACATACATCACAATGACATGACACATACATCATAACGTCATGCCAGGGTGCGGTTGATTCACGTAGGACTGTTCACGCAGAGCCCCGGATTCCACATCTCTTCTCTGGGGGGTGTTCCTCCGCGGTTCACACATGTCAGGGTGGAGTCGGTACACGGTGGGTGGGTTGGGTTGGCGGGGGCGGGACGTCCGGGTCCTGTAGGCCAGGAGGATGAGGGCAAGGGCAATGAGGACGACGGCCCCCAGTAGACAGCCCACGAGGATGGTGAGCACATAGGTGGTGCTGGCAAGGTTGTTTGGGAACGAACGACCTTGTGGAGAGTCGCTCAGACCTTCGGCGGCGTTTGGTCCGTCTTCAGAATATTCTGAAACAATAACCCTGGTTTTGAAGCCGCGCAATGAGCCTTAATTCAGCAATACTCTGCAATGGAATTGGTTCTTGCACAGAGGTTCCTGTGAGTGACGGTAGGAGCAAGGTGCAACTGAGTGACTGACTTTAGTGTTATCAATATTTCAGCAATATCACGGCGGGGGACATCAGAAATGGCTTCACACATTGTACCCATGTGGGGAATCAAACCGGGGTCTTCGGGGTGACGAACGAACGCTTTAACCACTTGGCCTTCCACCGCCCCTTCACAATATTCAAGGCGATAATTACATGACATTCAAGGCATTAAGTACACAACATACAAGTTGCCAAGCAAATTATGCAAGGCACCAGTACACATGTTCAAGGCGTCAATTACTCAATATTCAAGAGCACATTTTTCAAAGCGACGAGTTCACAATACCAAGGTCGCCATATTTAATTCCACGACACACATGATCACGACGCCATGTACATGTGATTGCGGAACTATCCAATACACTCACCTTCGACATTATTCAGGGAGATTGGCGTAAACCCAATGCAGTGAAATGATCCCATAGTGTTGATGCAAACGGGAGTCCCGCTGTAGCCAACGGATGAGCACATGTTGTGTTCACACTCATTGAAATCTGCCGAAAAACAGAACTACATTATCTTACTCCATTGATTCACAGCTATAGCACATCCGTCATGATTCGTATCATGTATAATTGATATAGTCCTTTCTGTTATAGAGTGGAGTGAGTTTACTTTCACCCCGCATTTAGCAATATTCCAGCAATATTCTAGTAATATAACGGCGGGGGACAACAGAAATAGGCTTCACATATTGTGCCCATGTGGGGAATCGAACCCGGGGCTTCGTCGTGACAAGCGAACGTTTCAACCACTGGGCTACCGCACTGCCTCTTTCTGTTATACGACGTTTTCAAGAAAGTTACATTTTCAGTAAATGCTCCTGAGGTACTCAGTATTCATAGAAATGTAAATATTTGATCTGACTAGTATAGCGCCTTGGTTCTCCTACTCAGTGATCATATACTGATGCCATTCTTCTTAGTGGAACACGTTGATATAATATACGATGTAATGATGAGTCACTATTGTACGGCCATGTTAGAGGTAGTCCAACAAACTCTGGATTCAGCAGAAACAGGATACACGCCGCGACGTGACAAAATTAAGCTTCAACCACAAGGCTACCCCTAAACCCCATGTGGAGTGAGGTTAGTTATACGCCGCTATTAGTAATATACAGTACTAGCAATATACAGTACCAGCAATATCACGGGACACCAGACATGGCCTTCACACATTGTACCCATGCGGGAATCGAACCCTGGTCTTCTGCGTGACGGAAAAACAGAACTACATTATCTTACTCCATTGATTCACAGCTATAGCACATCCGTCATGATTCGTATCATGTATAATTGATATAGTCCTTTCTGTTATAGAGTGGAGTGAGTTTACTTTCACCCGCATTTAGCAATATTCCAGCAATATTCTAGTAATATAACGGCGGGGGACAACAGAAATAGGCTTCACATATTGTGCCCATGTGGGGAATCGAACCCGGGGCTTCGTCGTGACAAGCGAACGTTTCAACCACTGGGCTACCGCACTGCCTCTTTCTGTTATACGACGTTTTCAAGAAAGTTACATTTTCAGTAAATGCTCCTGAGGTACTCAGTATTCATAGAAATGTAAATATTTGATCTGACTAGTATAGCGCCTTGGTTCTCCTACTCAGTGATCATATACTGATGCCATTCTTCTTAGTGGAACACGTTGATATAATACACGATGTAATGATGAGTCACTATTGTACGGCCATGTTAGAGGTAGTCCAACAAACTCTGGATTCAGCAGAAACAGGATACACGCCGCGACGTGACAAAATTAAGCTTCAACCACAAGGCTACCCCTAAACCCCATGTGGCGCTATTAGTGAAGGTTAGTTATACGCCGCTATTAGTATACAGTACCAATATACAGTACTAGCAATATACAGTACCAGCAATATCACGGGACACCAGACATGGCCTTCACACATTGTACCCATGCGGGGAATCGAACCCTGGTCTTCTGCGTGACGAGCGTAAGCTTCAACCACAAGGCTTACCGACAGGCCCACGTGGATGATGGAACTTACGGAGGTCAACAGGACCTTGTCATTCCTGACCTGCGCCTACCTTCACAGTTTCTGTTGTTGGATGACAGGTTGAAGCCTGGCCGACAGCTGCAGACAAAACTCCCGACAGTGTTGTTGCATAGGTGTTCACATGGTCCGTACATCGTGCACTCATTCACATCTTAACAGAAGAATGTCATAAATGAGTTGGACCGAGAATGTACGATTTGTTGAAATCCGTGTTACGTTGCTGTCAACAATACTCCGACTGTGTACTGTCGATCTGTTAATCAATTGAGGGAACACGATTAGGAGCCAAGTCGGCCATTTCAACCACCTGATCCTCATTTGCTGGGAGCAAAACCTGTCGTTCATTGGCTGTGCCAATATTCAGAGTTATCTCATTATGTTGTATTGAAAAGATATAGTTACCAAAAGTTAAAGTGATTATGTTTCACGGATTACTTCAGGATCACAGCATGCGTGTACATGCGTGTGCGTGCGTCCGTGTGCGTGCGTGCACACGAAAACTACGTTTCATGTTTTAATGCCAACAATGGACTTCACTTACAGAAGACTTCCAGCGCATTGTGCGTTTTGTTTCTTGAGCATTTCGCCTGCAGTCAAGTCAACAAGTGAAATCTTATCGTTCGTATTATTAGACAATGGATTGTTTTACCGTCACAGGAGCTGTTGTCGGCAGTCAACTTATAACCGTCCCGACAGCGACACTCGAAACTGTCGCCGATGTTGATACAGAGATGCTCACACGAGCTGGAGTTGCAGAAATCAGGGTCTGGATGGAAATACTCTTATATTACAATATCAAGATATCACTTTACACTGCTTCAATGAAAGTATGAACATAAATCTTCACCGCTGACACAACCTGAACACTAAAACTAAAACACTTTTTAAAAATGGCCCATTCTCAAGACCCGACAACGGTTTAACCCATACAGGTTAACTGGTGCCCGTTTTGACAAGATGAGGATATGTGTCATGAGATTTTACGTCCAGCCCAAGAATACTGTACGTAAATATACTATTCACAATTTGCTAAAGATGAAATCATTGATTCAACAGAAAAGTATGATGTGGGGTCAGATTTTGTTTAAATATCTAAGCCTATCGTAAGCATGGATCCTAGGTTTCAGTATGTCATTGCATCTTGTGGATTCCATACCTGCTATTGACAGGTGTTGTGTACTTGTCAATGACTCGTCCCATGATTTGCAAAATGGTTGATTGGTGCCATGAAAATCATTTTTATGGTTACTCATGTATCAAGTGCATACGGTTAGCTTGAAGTGGCTGTTTTCCTAAAGATGTGTTACCATATTATTGTTATTGGATATTTATATAGCGCACATATACACGCACTAGTGCATGCTCAAGGCGCTGGTATTTCCCCCCCTCGATTATTGGATGTCAGTCTCAACGGCACATCTTAATATCAATACCATATCATTATTTATCCAGTTTTAAATGGATACAATTTCAAATTATAAATCTACGTTTAAGTAAAGTTGCGAATTTTTGTGATCCTTAGCAAAGTGTGATATGTACACGTTTGTATCACGAGAAATGGACTCCACAATGTACACTGGTTGTCTGCGTAGTGATGAGCCACAAAGTCACAGTCATCAAGCTACCCGACCCGATTCCGACTGAATAACATACATCTTCCAATGAAGTTTTTCTCAAGCCATTAAACACATCCCTAACATACCCTCTTTTGATAAACACATCAGTTGGATACATATCTGTTCACATAATGTTTTAGTATGACGTTACGCCGCCCTTTGCAATATTTCCGCAATATGATGGTAGAAACCACAAACGACACCATACTTACATTCATAGAGTTTGCCTTCAGGTCCAGTAATACCTGTCATACCAGCTGGGCCTGTAAAACGACATTGTGAATATGTGGGCTTATTGTTGATTGTTATTAGCCATAACAGTCAGTCACTGTCCGGCTACTGAATCTGGGGACCGCCTCCGTGGTGTAGTGGTTAGAGCGTCCGCCCGAGAGCGGAAGGTCGCGGGTTCGATCCCCGACCGCGTCATACCAAAAGACGTTAAATAATGGTAATTGTTGGTCCCTGCCTGGCGCTCGGCATTAATGGGTACAACAAGGACTGGTCGGCTCGGAGTCAGTATAATGTGTCTGAGTGGGGTATTCATGCTTCACTGCGGCATGGTATCTCAGTGGGGTAGCACTATAAAACCAGCTTCAGTCTGGGCTAGTACAAGCAGCCGCACATACACACGCATGCACGTCGTCATATGAGCGAAATATTTTCAAGCACGACGTTAAACCCAATTTCACCTCACCTCACTGAATCTGGGCCAACCAAACCAATTGTGGATGGAAGAAACAATGATGAACGCAGTATGAGAACGACGCCGAATATCATACAGTTGCCCCTATATTCCGGCCACATGGCTGAGGTCTGTATATATCGAGACTCGATCAAACAATCCAGTGATCGATATTACGAGCAACGTCTTACGCAGTCGAATAATCGTGACATATTCAGAGTTTGGTCTTGCAGTACCCAATCTTCATTCCATTCGGCTTTTACTTCATTTGTTGATCCCATGTATTACTTTTACTGTCTTTAAGGGATGGTTGAAAATACCGCAATGCATCAGTGACGGGAAGTGTGTAATACGTGTCCTGAGTGTGGAATAACATAGCCATATCCGATTCACATACCTGCACTGCCTGTATTACCAGTCACTCCATCCAATCCTCTTGGTCCACTCCATCCTGTGATTCCCGCATCCCCCTGGAATCCTAGTGGCCCCTGTTTTCCGGTGCTGCCGGTGTAGCCAACCGCCCCCATTTCACCCCTAGGTCCTGTCTGTCCGGTCGTACCATTGGGGCCCACAGACCCTGACACGCCCGTGGCCCCAACTGTTCCGGGCAGACCTGGTGGTCCTATGTGTCCTAAATATATAACACTCAAATGTAACTGGTTCTTTGAGTTAAATGGTTAACATTTCCAATAGATTTGAATCAGATTTCGACTGGTATTTCTGAACGTATTTACCTGGTATTCCAGATGTCCCAGTTTCTCCTGCAGATCCCTGAAGCCCTGTTGTCCCGGACACTCCAGGAACTCCAGAGTACCCCCGAGGTCCGGATTCCCCAGTCATTCCACTGATACCAACTGGACCAATCATACCAGGAGATCCAGTAGAACCAGGAATCCCAGCTTCTCCAGTAGGACCTATAGAACCAGAAATCCCCGTGCTGCCAGACACTCCAGGTGGACCATCGGTTCCAGTTTCCCCAGGTGAGCCGGGTGCTCCTGGCAAACCATCCTGACCAGAAGTGCCGTTCGAGCCAGGTATCCCATTTACGCCTGGTGTACCAGACATTCCGGTTAAACCTATACTCCCTGAAACACCAGGTGTACCGGTCATACCAGCAGGGCCGGCGATTCCTTGTAGACCAGCTGCTCCTGATGATCCATTAATCCCTGATGGGCCCATTAACCCTGTAGCTCCCTCTGGACCTGCTTGTCCCGTTGCGCCCTCACCTTTCGTTTCCTGGTATTCCTTGTTGACCAGTTACCCCTATATCGCCTTTCATGCCAGCACTTCCACTGGGACCCTGTAACCCAGACACCCCTGTAATGCCCTGTGCACCTGGTTGTCCTCGTAGCCCTTGCATTCCAGTTAGACCTGTCATTCCATCTACTCCAGCCGGACCAGTGACGCCCATGGCACCAGGTGCTCCTGTCAATCCTGACTGTCCAGTATATCCAATTGTTCCACCTGGACCTGTCGCCCCCACCCCTCCTGTAGCACCAGTCATGCCATCATCGCCCTTTGTTCCGTTATATCCATTTATACCAGATGCACCTGGAGGGCCATCGGAACCATTGAAACCCCTATATCCTCTCATACCTTGAGGACCAGTATCCCCAACTGACCCAGTGACGCCTGGCATTCCATCAGAACCTGGCAGACCTGTTTGACCGCTTACACCATCAAGTCCTGTCACACCATCAGGTCCTGTGCCTCCGGGTACACCGTCACTGCCAGTAAGTCCTGTCATGCCAGCAGCTCCTGTGGTTCCTACCGGTCCTTCTGAGCCTCTGACACCTGTCATGCCTGTGTCTCCAACACTTCCAGCTGATCCAGACATACCAACAGGGCCAGCTACACCTGTCGCACCTCGAGGACCAGTGGAGCCATTTGGTCCCTGTGGTCCAGCTACGCCAGATGCACCAACAGCTCCAGAAGCCCCAACAGGACCAGCTGGTCCAGTGACCCCTGGAGCTCCATCCGTGCCATTAACACCCGGCTCTCCATCCTTGCCCATTTCTCCACTCATCCCCGTGATGCCAGGCATACCACTGTGTCCAATCGGCCCTGTTTGTCCCGCTGGGCCTGAAGATCCCATTGCACCTAAACAGTAACGTTGAACGAAGTTGTTAGGAAGGTAATATATAGCACCTATTTCTTGTATTTTATTTATATCTTATATAGCAATGCAGTAAATGATGTATTCAAATACTATTATCACCTATTTCTTGTATTTTATTTATATCTTTCTGAAAGCATATACATGTGTGTACATTTGCTCCTTATCATCGACAGCAATGGGAAACTGAATAGTTTCCAAATTACATAGAAGGACTCATCCCAGCTTTTATTTTTCAAATATACAATGCAGTAAATGATGTATTCAAATACTGATTAAAACAAATTCATTTTGTTCTATTTACATATTATATAGTTTACAATTACAGTATCCTGCGTATGAAACATGGCTGAGTTACCTGTGCCCCCCTTGAGTCCTGCCATTCCTGTTTCTCCCGGTAAACCTGTCTGTCCGAAAGGTCCTGTCATGCCAGCATCTCCTTGAGGTCCTTGTCCTCCCGACATCCCTGGTGGTCCTGGATCCCCCGACATGCCTGGTATCCCCGAAACACCCTGCAGCCCTGACTGGCCAGTAACTCCTGCAGAACCATCGTTCCCTAGGTTGCCAGTCACTCCAGTCTGTCCCGGGCTGCCGGAGGCACCGTCACTACCCGGGGTACCTGCAAATTGTTCAGTACTGTGTAAATATAAAATAAATCTCTTGGCCGACATGTATCGTATCTGAGTTAAATATCTGACATCAGCGAGATTGAGGCGGCCAATGGGTGATGCATGAAAGACAGCCCATGTTGTTGATTACATTGTAACCACCCGATACTCATAAGTCGGAAACACAGGGACGGGTCGTGCAAAGCTAAGCAGGTTCAAGACATATGGTAACAAATGTCAGTTTTAAATGAAGAGAGAATGACTGATTGCGACCATATACGTTGTAGCAGCTTATCTTCTCGTTACAGTCTTGCATTTTATCAAGTGGATATGACTTCAAACTTGAAGGTGATGTTCACGTTACCTGGATGTCCAGACATCCCTGTAATGCCTGCTGGGCCTGTCTTGCCAGCCATCCCGTCCGCACCACCAACTCCTGTTGCCCCACGGGCCCCTGCAGGACCTTGCTGACCAGTGTGTCCACCAGGGCCTGTCATTCCTGCAGGGCCTGTAAGGCCCGAGGTCCCCGTCACCCCTACAGCTCCAGGAACACCAGGCTGGCCTATTACACCTTCTGCACCCGTTGCCCCAACATACCCAGTCATTCCTGGTGTGCCTGAAAACATGTGTTAACGTGAAACCACATACTTGCCGAAATGTTGTTGATGTCTGTCAAGAGGTTTTGTTTGTTTGTTTTGTATTTTTGTTGATTAATGCCGCAATACTATATGGTGTCGATCAAACCTGTTTGGGCACTTCTTATGACAATAACTAGAGTGGTGAAGACCAAATCGAACACAGGCATTCACCCGGGTCACGATCTTACGGCTTTCTGTCATAAGGAATCTTAGTACAGCAGCCGATCTTTGGGAAAGCCAAGGGCTTCGATAATGTTTTCTGCCATTTGGCACGTAATCGCGTCATCATTCGCATTGGGTTTTTATTTTAGTTTTCATGTCTTGTTTCCCCTCGATACAATGAGTATACATTTTAAAAACATATATATTATTCTGCATAAATGCTATTGCGTTGGTTTAACAATAAGTGAGACGAAGAAGCTTGCTATGCATTGTTCAGTACAGTGCAGTGTATGAGTGATGTCTGCTCTCGATCTGTGAATGAAGACTTGTAAACGAATAAATGCACACACGTGGGAACAATTGGTTAATTTAGGTGCATTGTTGTCAAACTATCGAGTGGTTTTGATAATTGTTCATAACGATTTTGTTTTAGATGCTGATTGGTCAGTATTGATGTTAATGGTATTAGTCAGGAGGTACAGGCTCGGATTGAAGTCCTTCGTAGATGACGTGAGACAAAAAAGTTTGAGTGAGTGAGTTTACTTTTACGCCGCACTCAGCAATAATCCAGGTATATGGCGGCGGTCCTAAAAATTTTGAAAAGTCGTAGATCTGAAACGTTGACATCGTACCCGTATATCCCATGGCCCCTGGCATCCCGTCTCTGCCCGAGGCCCCTGTTGTTCCCGTCTGTCCAGTGCTGCCGGCACCTGTTGCGCCATCTGGGCCAGTTACGCCAGGATCGCCCTGGCTCCCAGGTACCCCTGTAAACCCCGTAGTTCCGGGTGAACCCAGAGCACCGGTCGCACCCGCTGGTCCGGTTACACCTGCATACGTAAAAAAATTATTATTTGTTTCACATACACAGTGCTTGTTTTACAGGAATGGGATCTAAGATAACGTACGTCTGTATCAGGGAATGGTTTTATTGTTCTGAAGCAAAGGTTGGTTTGTAGTACGGGCGTAGAGCCCTGGTCTGACCTGCAGCCCCTGACCAGCCAGCAGCACCATCAAACCCTGGTGGACCTCTCAACCCTGTCTCTCCTGTAGTACCCAGGGGCCGGTAGAACCAGACGACCCACGTGGACCTAAAACAGAAACACAACCGACATTGTTTAGGGTGCTGTCTTGAGTATTGGGCAGTGATTTGCTAAAGACAAAAGATAGACGGACATTTAAGAACATTTTCATCACTGCAATCTTTTTCAATGGACATTTTTCTATTTCGTCACTAGATTTGCAAAGAATATTAGGAATGTTTTAGATAAAAATGAAATTCCAAGAAATCTGAAAAATGGAAAGCACTGCAACTAATCCAAGGACAAATGTGAATATTACATGACAACATTATACACTGAATATCACCTGGAGGACCTGCTAGTCCTGGCTGCCCCGGAGACCCGGACTGCCCAGTTACTCCATCACCTCCCCTGTCGCCATGAAGTCCGGTCGCTCCAGATGTTCCAGGGAATCCTACTGGACCTTGCAAAGTACATGCAAATATGGTGTAAAACAAAATAAACTGAAACAGCTTTTTTACTGATATCTAATACAAATCGTCACACAAGTACCAGTCCATAACAAAGTGAAAAGTTACATTAATGTGTGTCCCTGAGCAAGTTAATTTGTTCGAAATATGCCTGTTCACCCAGCAGTGAATCGGTACCAAGTGGTAGGTGAGATAGTAGTGAGAGAGTTTAGTTTTAGGCCGCACCTCAGTAATATTCCAGCTCTATGGCAGGGTGAGACAGTAATGTGACTGTTTCCCTTCTATTCTTATAAATGAAACTCAACCACAGACCGGGTAGCGCTTTAAGCATGGTTTGGGTTGTGTTTTTGACGCAATAGATACATGTTCATATTAATATTAAAAGTGGTAGCAGTATTTCCTGTCTTGAATAAATAGATGCACCAAACAGGATTCGTAGATGCTAGTACAGTCAGACTGGTAAAGCTCATCACCAACTCAGGTAACTTTGCCCCATTTACAAGCAACCCAGACAGCAAATGGGACTTCTCACTTGGAAGCGCTGCCTTGTCTACCCCAATCGGAAAAGTTCGGAGAATGTGAATACTCCAACACTAAAGGTTTCTGCATTTTCCAGAGTGTCAGAGGGCCTACGTTCTTAACAGCAATGCCATGACTGAGTGACTGAGTTTGGTTTTACGCCGCTTTTAGCAATATTCCAGTAACATCACGGCGGGGGACACCAGAAATGGGCTTCACACATTTTGCCCAAGTGGGGATTCGAACCCGGGTCTTCGGCGTGACGAGCCAACGCTTTAACCATTAGGCTACCCCACCGCCCCGCAATGCCATGAACTCTACCAATGTCGGTCAAGAGATTTGGAGGTACCAAACCTGAGGTACCAAAAAGAATGTGAAGAACTTAATGATACAAACTTTGCCATGTTTTTCCTGAATCTTGTCAGTTACATGGTAAATAACCATTTTCTAAAGTAAATAGCCACCCATTGTTCCTGGTATGCCCATGCTGCCTGCGGGTCCAGGACGCCCTGGTGGACCAGTGGATCCTTCAATCCCCGGGATGCCAGTCTGCCCCGTGCTGCCCGGTCCTGCCTGTGTTCCTGGTCTCCCTGCGGGGCCTGGGAATCCCGTCATGCCCGGGTCTCCTTCAGCCAACAGTGTTAGGACAAAGGTTAGCTCCAGATAACATACAGCTATCAAATGTTACCATGCATTCAGAGTACATACCAGTATACTATGGCAGACTATTTGCCATGACGAACGACTTTCCAATGTGAACATGAATGTACAAAAAATGTACCTTGGATTCCTGTTGGCCCTCTCTGCCCGGTCATTCCTGCCGACGCTGGCAAGCCTCTGACGCCTGTCATACCAGAATATCCCATCTGTCCAGTAATTCCTGGCATTCCTGGTGTCCCGTCCCTGCCAGGCTCGCCCGAAGATCCCCTAGCACCTGTGGCGTACAACCAGCGACTGAGTGTTCTGATGCAAGTCTTCTTTGTTTAGAGACCGGTAATTTACATGACAGTAAAGTCAGTGGGTGAGTTTAGTTTTACGCCACACTCAACAATATTCCAGCTATGTTGCGGCGGTCTGTAAATAATCGACTCTGGACCAGCCAATCCAGTGATCAATAGCATCGATCTACGCAACTGGGATACGATGACATGTGTCAAGCAAGTCAGCGAGTTTTACCACCCAATCCCGGTAGTCGCCTCTTAAAAGTGAGGTCATGACAGTAAAGGTTATAACAGAGGGTTATGAAAAATATTTACATTAGTGCAGCGTCATCAAAAACATTTCATGATCAAATATAAAGTGATTTGGCATTTTTGCCTTTTTCGGTGTGTGTGGGGAGGGAGGGGGTTGGGGGATTAATGAAAGTCAGGGCAGGTTCATATTTTCAATACATTGGGCTGATTAACAGTTCGCTGGACATTCACGGCCTATCTGCTAGATTTGGCAGGAAACTTTTGAAGTTAACCACATTGAGGATGGGTTTGAATTAAAACAGGGGATCATTATCAGCTATTCGATATATCTGGGAAGATCTTAGGATTTTGCATGTCAAACACATGCTTTCAAATCAACTATGAACTCTATGGTGAACAAATTACGAGTTTGAATTATTTTGGAGGAATTTCATTTCAACAAGGTTGAGGGGTTCGTGGGTTTGTGTGTGTGCTCATACCTGGCACGCCAGTAACTCCTGCCATCCCCGTTTGCCCAGCGTCCCCGCGCATCCCACGTGACCCAGGACTTCCGGTTTCACCTCGTTCCGCTGGAGGGCCAGGGCGACCCGTGACTCCGTCCTTTCCAGTGTTACCAGCACTAGTGATGTTAGTCAAATATAAGGATGTCTGGTTATCATTGCGAAATGTATCGCATTGTTCAAGGACCAGCTAAATCTGCGATCTGTTTGTGCAGCGAACTGATTGTTTCGGAAATGTTAAATGGAACAAGTACTCGGAAATCTGGAAGTATATGTCCCCAATTCAAAAGTTTAAAGGATCCGATATCATTTGTCACATATTTAGGTTGATCAGCATTTGTCTGAGCAATTTCAATTCAGCTGTTTTTCTCAGAGTTCAAACAAACAGGTGAGTTTGCTTGTCACGGCAGCATCATTGTACCTCTGGGTGGTGGAGGAAGGAAGACGTTATATGCCTCATGTGTGTTTAAAGTACAAAAATGTAATTTTTCAAGTAAAATTGATATTTTTATACTTATCCTGACTCATGATCTTTTGCTTATCTCCCTTTTCTTTTCGAATGGTAGTGGAAACACTTGAATCCCTTGAAGTTCCCGAAGCAGACGTATAAATACACTCACCCACGAGTTACCTCCCTTTTCCCGCGCAAACAGTCATGTGACCAGCCTTACTTGTCACTCTCTCCTGATTTTCTTCCCATGCAGTTGGATCTGCTGTGAAATCCGAAGTGTTTCCAGCGTGGAGGTTGGGAGGTCTTCTCGTCATGAGTCAGGATAAGTATAAAAATATCCTGACTCATGATCTTTGGCTTAAAGAATCCAAATTGGTGGTGGGTCAGTCCACTTCCTGGATTCATCAGCTGTCCTTAGACACGTCCTGTATCTCTCTCACCAAAGGAGTTCTTTGTCGTGCTGTTATTCCACCCCAAATCATCACGGAACCACCACCAAAGCGATTCCTCTCCAAGACACAGGGCCTGTGCATAACGTTCTCCCACGCGTCTATAGGCAACGTTGACGTCCATCACTATGGGAAATGTTAAACCTGGACTCATCTGTAAAAACAACATTTCTCCACCAAAACAAGGGTCTGCGGACATGATTTCGGCACCACATTCTGCGAGCTTGTCGATGACGTTGTGTCAGGGTAGGCCGTATGGCGGGACATCGTGGTCTGATCCTGTGATGACATAAACGTTGTCGAACTGTGTTGGGGTGGATACGGCAAAGTCCTGGGATGGTTTGGGCAGTCATCACTGCAGTCTGAAACCTGTGGCGAAAATGGGTCACCCTTTTCCATATGTCCTGTCTTGGCGTTGTTACACGTGGACGTCCAGAACGTGGCCGATCGATGACGTCATTTGTGGTCTGGTAGCGTCTCACCAGTGCAGAAATGGTGTTCCGGTGGCAGTGGAAATGTGCAGCCACTTGTCGTCGAGACATTCCCCCACGGACCATCCCAGTGGCCTCATGACGTTGTGCAGACGTGAGCCTTGGCATGCTATGCGTTTCAATAGCCGTTTAATTTTTTGAACGATCGCAAGGGCAGGGGTTGAGCTTTCCAAAGTGACAGTATTGTTTGCATTCATTTGCTGTTTCTCTTTCCCGGAATGCACGTGCAACAACGTATTGCACGTCTCAAGGACGAACCCACTGACGTCACGGAACGTGGCACGTGCATGCATGTTGGATACATGTCACTAATCTCTGAGTTTGAATCCTTATGTGTTTGATAAATTTAGATTTTCAATTTGTGTATGCACAGTTTCTTTATGTGCCTGGTATAGTATCTTCTTATTACTAGATATCTTATAACAACCCGTAGATTATGATAAGATCTTTATCATAAATGAGTTGCAACCCCTTCACGTACAGGTAAGATCTTTACCCGTACAGGATCTTTAATCACTCATGCTAGCCTGTCCTTCAAACTAATACTTTTCCTTATTAAAGTTATGAACAAGTCAACGTGAAAAAGGGTGAGATTTTCCAACTCAGCGCCTTTGAGGAACCGTTAGTTGCTGTGCTACAACGAGAGTCCCAAATTGGTGAATGCCTGAGACGTCTTCAGTGGTTATGTCTCAGAGGTAGTGGTTGGCAAACACCGTGTCCGACTTCCAAAAGCAGCCCTCCATAATTGCAGATATAGAGCAATTTCCATGCCACGCCAGTGCTCTGACTTCATGTGGGTTGGTAGCTCTAGGAGGTTCTAGTCCTGCTGCTTTATAAGCTCTCAATATGACGGCTCTCATCCAGAATGATATCGTCGTTCTTGAGACTTCTGCTGATGTCTCTGTGGATAATGGGATGAACAAGCGCTTGAATTTTCGTCTCCTTGTCTTAGTCTTTTGAAGATATATCTTCCGGGCACTTACCGGACACAAGGATAAGTCTCTATATCCTCTGGTCCAAGGATTGTAGCTAGTGCTGGTACGTGGAACTGTCTATCTGGCTGACCAGGTAGTTGGTTCTTGGCAATGAAGTCCCATCTAAGTCTTAGATGAACTGTAGCATGTTGCACCATGTCGAATCTGGTTCGACCAAAGTCCAGCATGTATGTATCTCTGATATTCAAGTTGCCGTGGCTAGCGCAAGCAGGAACAGAGCCTTCTGTGTCAGCAACTCAAAGGTAGTCTGGTCTAGAGGTTCGTAGGCATCACTCGTAAGATGAAGTAGAATTACATTCAGATCCCAGGCCGGAGATCTGAACTTCTTTTGCTGGTCGTCCAGTTTAAAAGATCTCAGCAGAGCAAGTAATTCTGGTACTTTTGTCAACTTGATGCCTGTTTTCATGGTAATCACTGTACTGATGGCGGCGAGGTATGTAGATAATGTTGAACCTTTCAGATGTCTGGTCTGTGTCTAAGATGACACAGGTATTCCGTCACTTGAGGATGAGTAGCTTTCATCGCAATTAAGCCTTTCCGCCTTGCATAAGTCTCAAACTTCAGCCATTTGTCATCGTACAGGTTACGAGTAGATCTGCATAATGCTAGCGTTACTGCCTTGGCTGCCCTGGCGGAGTATCCTCTTTTCTTCAAACATGTTTTGATATGGTCCACACGTGTAGCTGGAACGCTGTCGGGTTCCCGTTGACTTGCTTGGTGTGCAGATGTATGAGTAGGTTCGGCCAATCTGGTAACTTGATTGTTGGACTTCCGAGATCTTCTATTAGGTCTAGGAACCATACTCTCGCTGGCCAGTATGGCGTGACCAAAGTCAGTTGTAGCGCCTGTGTCTGTTTGATCTTCAACAGTACTTCCGGTAGTAATATCGGGGGTGGAAACGCATAAGCGTTTAGTCCTTCCCAAGATATGCTCAGTGCATCTGTTGCCCAGGCTTGAGGATCTGGAACTGGTGAGACAAACGTCTGTAGTTATTTCTTGAACCTCGAACAGGTCTATGCAAGGGTATCCTATTTCCCTTATGATTAGCCAGAATGCTTCTGGATGGAGCATCCATTCCGTAGGTGACGGGTGCAGTGGTCGTGAGAGAGCGTCTGCAAGTACGTTCTTGGCTCCGGGTATGTGACACGCCTTTATCCAGATGTTTGCCTCCTCCATGATGTCAAACATGATGCCACTGTAGAGTTGTCCATGTGGACCATCAGCATTTTGTTGTTCAGCAACCTCGACCATAGTTGTAAGGCATTGATCACGACTTTCATCTCCAGCAGATTGATGTGAAGATGCTGCTCTATTTTGGACTACCTTCATGATGCAACTTGATTGTTGAGATGCGCACCCCAGCCTTGTATCGAAGCGTCTGCGTAGAGATGTGTGTCAAAGGCCGGCTCTTGTAAATAGGTCCCTCCGCAAACGTTCGACCTGCGTGTCCACCACAGTAGATACCTCTTGAAGTTGTCTGGCAGCAAGATTGGGTCGACGCTGTCTAGATGTTTTGTCAGGAACCGTTGCAGCGGTCTTAGTTGTAACCTTCCTTTGCGAGTCAAGTCCTGCGCCGAGGTTAGTAGACCGAGTAGAACTTGCCATGATCATAGTGTTAACGGAGAGATGACTGCTAGTGGAATCATGGCTTGTATCTTGACCCAACGATCTTCTGGGACGACAATACGATTCTGTGTTGTGATAAACCTTATCCCCAGAAATTGCAGATCTTGTTTTGGTTCCAACTCTCATTAGGTTCACCAGCCATCCTAGTTGAGTGAGCAACTTGATTGTGCAGTTCAGCTGTAGTCTGATTTGACTGGCATCTTGGTGAACCTGAATTCCGTCATCCAAGTAGTAGGCATTGCGTAGACCTCGATGATGTAGGTATGTGACTATAGGCTTGGTTATTCGTGTGAATAGCCACGGAGACGAAGATATTCCAAACGGTAGGACGTTCCATTGGAAGTGCTGCCCTCTGAATAGGAATCGTAGATACTTTTTTGATTCCGGATGTATGGGGATGTGTAGATACGCATCATGCAGGTCTGTGCTGGCCATGTAATCTGCTGGACGGACGAGTAGTCTGAGTTGAGGTAGGTGGATCATTCTGAACCTGTCTGGTTTCAGTAGATAGTCTTTGTTGAATTTGCGCATGTTGTAAATCAGTCTGAACATCTCCGTGGAGTTCTTCTTGGGTACTAGAAAAATTGGGGAGTAGAAGCCTGGAGTGAGATGATGCTGATCTATTATCTCTACCGCATCCTTCATAAGTAGTGAGTTGATGGCTTCTTGTAGTTTGTCTGCCTGCTCCTCTGCATAGTCGAAGACCATCGGAAGGAGGGTTAGCGGAGGTGTGGCCTTGAGATGTACTCTGTATGCTTATCGTAGTACTTGGAAGTCATAGTCGTCCTCTAGTATTCCCCAATTTTTCCAGTACCTTTGTAGACGTCCACCCACTGTCAATGGTTTTACAGGAACGGCTGGGGTTGGAGGACTCCAGTCATTCCGAACCCTGATATCAACGTCTAGTTCCTCTGGATCCTCTGGGAGTGTGGCCTCTCCCTGAGTTTCCTCTGTAATTTCCGGATGGGTGACTAAAAGATCCTTTGCTGCCTCTGAAGCTGGAGTACTTCTTCTCCTTTGCCTTCTGTATGCCGGAATATTAGGACTTGCAGTTATACTTTTGCGAAGTATGATGGATGACGTTGGCCAGAGTATCTATGGATTTTATCATCATCACTTCTCTAGAGTCGTGTGTAGCTTCCTTAGCTGCATTGTCCATTTGTCCTCCAAAGAAACTAGGCGCCTCCCATGAAGCTCTCAGTAGCGGTTGGGTGAATCTGTCACTCCATGAACAGGATGCAAGTAGCCCTTGTCTGCGTAGTAAAGTGAGACCTGCAGATATAGATGCCAGATGGTCCGATAAAAAGTATTGGTCCTTCTTCTGAGTTATGAGCGTCAAATATATCATTCTGTCATCTTCCGAACTTGAGTTCTGGTATTTATTGATCAATGCTTCATTGATAGCTCTGGACCTGGCCAACCCGAAGAAGGATCTCCTTGTAACAGTATGAAGTTGAGATAACTTTTTAGCTTCTACTTTATACATCTTGTTCCGTGAGTCGTTGACTAACTTTATGTTATCATCCCATTCAGGCGCCTTTGTAAATGGATCCATATGATGTAGAGGGAGTCTCTTCACATTAAATGATGGCAGATGCTGAATCTGGTACTTGGATGCTTTCGCGAAAGCTGTGTGAAGGTTGGAGGGTACCCTGAATATAGGTTCAATCGGAGGGATAGTGACGGAGTCAAAGTCGTCGTTACGCATCATATAAGGGTAGACTTCATCTTTTTCCTTAGGAGACTCCAAGTTCAACCCGTTGGCAATCAAAGCTGTAACCTCTGCATCTGGGAAGACGAAGTCCCATGCTCATCCAGTGTCTCCTGATTATTAAACCTCTGCGTAACATCCATCAACCGGTATCCCTTGTGGAACCTTCATCATCCTTTATCGCGAACCTCTGTCTGCAGATTCCTCCCTACACGAACGTCTATCTTGAGAGTCCTCTCTTCGTCTGTCGCTAGATGTATCCTTTCGCGAACCTCTGTGATGTGAGCTTTCTCTTCACGAACGTCTGTCACTAGATGTATCCCTTCCTGAACGTCTGTGATGTGAGCCTTCTCTTCACGAACCTCTGTCTCGTGATGAGTGACTTCGCGAACCTCTGTGAGATGTCGATCTAGAGCGGCTAGGTGTAGGAGATGGATCCTTTGACGTTCTCGAACATTGAGGGTTCGCAGATGTAGAATGATGAGTAGGCATCTCATGTCTTCTATCCTCCTATATAATGATGACAGAGTCGTCCGACTGTGGAGACCTTCGTAAAGGTGTACGTTCGTCAACGTAGTCTTGAGACGTAGTTCTATGTGGAGTAGGTTCGCGCAGGTAAGTAGGTTCGCACAGGTCAGTAGGTTCGCGCACGGTGTCAGTAGGTTCGCCGAGCCTTCGCTTCTTCCTCGAACCTGCGTTCCATCATGGTCATCAACTGGTTGGTGAATTGTCTCATAAATTCACCCGGGTCAAAGTTCTGCGTTGGATGAAGCTGCTGCAGTGTAAAAGAAGTGTTCGCGAACCCTGATGAGTTGTGTGCTCGACTTCACTGCGTTGAGAGGTAGGTGGTAGTTGGTCAACCAGCTGTCCTGCTGTGACTGTTGCAGGAGACGATCTAGTAGTTGGAGATGTCAATTGAGTCGCTGATCTCGTAGGCACTTCAGGTAGAAGTAGTGGGCGATCATCAAAAACGTCTACTTCATGTGGAGGTAATATCTCTTCGTTGAAGGATTTCTGATGCGTTGACTTACTAGCCCGCGTAGATGGGCGACGAAAAGATCCTTTGCCGCAAAGGGAGAGAGTGACAAGTAAGGCTGGTCACATGACTGTTTGCGCGGGAAAAGGGCAAAAGGGAGGTAACTCGTGGGCGAGTGTATTTTTACGTCCGCTTCGGGAACTTCAAGGGATTCAAGTGTTTCCATTACCATTCGAAAAGAAAAGGGAGATAAGCAAAAGATCATGAGTCAGGATAAGAAAAAATTAATACATCCCATAAAAGACGCTGCGTAACCTGTTTAGATATGTACGATGTAAATAAAGGTATTTCCATAACTTTTTATTCAGTAGACGTTATGTAACTAACACAGGGACGGGCGAACGGATGAATGGTCCGTGCTGTTTGCACAACAAAGGCTGTTCTGTGCCTACCTGCCTATGGTACCGGCTGGTCCCTGCTGTCCTGGGGGTCCAGGGAGCCCTGATACTCCCTGCTCACCCACGTCGCCCTTCTGTCCGGGGCTGCCAGTGACACCCTTCAAGACAACAGATAATGTCACTTGTAACAATATCGCAGATTATTTTTGAGCCGACACATTGCAAGCGAGTATTAATTATATAGTTTAATCGTGTCTTTCAACGATTTCATTTATTTTACATAAAAAATTCTCTGTTGTGTTCACTGAAAATGGATGAAGACCATAGGCCTATGGTGCAGATAATAGGTTTAGCAGCCAGGATCACAGGTATAAACATGCTACAATAAAAGAGGGATGTTAAAAACATTGTTTGGCTATGCACTTTCAATGCAAATCATATGCAGTAGACATAAGTTAACCATTATGTTCCTTTTCTATATTGCCAAAATAACACACTTTAATATTCTTTTTTTTCTTGTTGTGCTATCCCTTACCAATGCTGCCATCTATATCTAAATCACGTGAACTGCATCTAAATCATGAAAGAACTGTACATACAAAAAAAGTCCGTTTGGCTCAAAAGCGGACCGATGATTTGCAATCTAACTCGAAAACTAATAAACATAACATACTCAATGAAACGCTGATCATAATCAAAACATCCTACCCATTTTTTTGTCCTAAAAATACAAAAGTTGTTTAACAAACTATCATTCAAATATTGACACAGTTCACTGTTTGTTACGAGGGAGGAGTGCAGAGAAAGGGACAGCCAGGTGTTCGCTGAGCACGTTCACAGACAAAGTTATTTATTCATTAACCCGTGCTGTGCCGTCTCCATCCGTTCTCGAACACCTGGCTGTCCCTTTCTCTGCAAAAACCTCACAGAGTGGGTATGATGTTTTGATTATGATCAGCGTTTCATTGAGTATTTTATGTTTATTAGTTTTCGAGTTAGATTGCAATTCATCGGTCCTCTTTTGAGCCAAACGGACTACAGTTACTGTATTAACCTGATACAGACCAGAGGGTCGCGAGGCGATACAGAAATGCTTTTGTTTGCTTGTTTGTTGTTTAACACCACACTCAGCAATATTTCAGCTTTCTGTAAAATAATCGACGGCTCCGTAAATAATAGAGTGTGGACCCGACAATCCAGTGATCAGCAGCATCAGCATTAATCTACGCAATTGGGAAAAGATGACATGTGTCAACCAAGTCAGCGAGCCCCTTGCGACAAATATGGGTTGCTGAAGATCAATTCTAACCCCGATCTTCACGGGTAGATATGCTTCTCCGAGACACTAAAAATTAAATGTCGGTCGGATGAGAGAATGTCACGAAATATAAACAATACCCAAGATTCTGATTTTAGGCAGCTATTTCTGTTTTATTACTGAAATAAGGTTAAACATGTTAAATACTCGAATATTGCAACTCTCATATTGGTAAACTGGTGTAAACCAAGCGACAAACAAAATTCAAACATTACAAGCAGTTTAGTAATCACCTGTCAAACCCACTTACCTGTGTTCCAGGTGGTCCAACTGTTCCCTTGGCACCCTGGTCACCCTTCTGTCCAGTTGGACCCGTCAACCCGGGGCGTCCATCCGGACCCGTGGCACCAATGATCCCGGCTGGCCCAGTCGAGCCGGTCAGACCTGTTGTCGGGGAACACTGATATATCTACGATCAACTTCATGTTGTCTACGCTAGGCGATATTTCAATTCTTTACCTTTCCAATATTAATCTCTAATGTACACTTGGAACATGTATTTTAGTTTCCAAGTCCTGTGCTGGGATTTGAACCACGGACCTTCTGATCCGAAATCGGACGCCTTGTCCACATGACCAAAGATGTTAACCCCGTCAGCAAGCTGACAAGGTAAGGATGCCATCTGTGGGATGACTCCATGCCCTGCTACATACAGATATCTACAATGGCCTCAACCAAATATAAGTAGGTATGATGAAGTTTCGACATCAATGCGTTTCAGTCTTCAAACTCTTCTCACACTCATCATATAGTTTAGGAAACGGACATTTTCAGTTCTTGAAAGATCTAATTTTCATAAAGGAGCATCTCTGAGAATACCAACGATGGGAAGGAAGGAGGTCTTGGTATATAATCACGGTGGTGCAGCAATCTGATATGTATGTTCAATTCCTCCATTTTCGAGTGTTAAAACGGTCATGCATGAATACCTACGTACCGAGCTCTATAATGGCCTCCACTTTAAAGAAGTAGGTCTTGATGAAGCTCCGACTCCCATAGGTCAGCCCTACAACCATTGGGGCGGGGACATTGTTGACCACCATAGTTCCGATCTCCTGGTCCGGGATGGTGTAGGAGATGGGGCCAGCATCCTTGTCGTACCTCCATCCCAGGAACTGACCCTTTCTGACCAATGGAGGCTCGGTCATGTTGACCTAATTGTAATGACAAACTCTGGTTGGATTGGAGTCTGGTATGAGCCCAGCACGTTGAGCACAGTATTTGAGCTATTTCATAAATATAACTTATTCTGTAATTTATTCTATACACCCCCCGTGCAGTGTCGGGTAAGCATACGTTCCTTAACTCTGTTTGTTGTTGTGATGAAGTGGAGGTCCCTGTGGTTAACGCGTTTGCTCGTAATGCAAAAGCCTGGGATCGATTCCTACATGGCTAAACCCCATTTCTGGTGGTCCCTCTGTGATATTGGTGAGTGAAATATTGCCAAAAGCGGCGTAAAACCATATTCACTCACTCACTACTAAACTGGATCGATGACTAGATTCATATACGTGTTACATATTTCGACCCGGAAACATGGCACGTTGATTTCAATCACTAGTTTGTCGAGTCGTCAATTCCCGACTGCCATGAAACATTCGCTCACTCATACATTCCGTTCAAACCGCCGGTATAGCAGTTCTGTTAAGCATGTCGTTGGAGCACGATGCCATAAATATGACCTGTGGTTTTTCAGCAGTAACTAAGTTATAATGTTGTGAAATTACTTACGCAATGCCTGCCCTGCGTCTTAGGAAAGACAACATTCTGCTGGAAGACAAGTCTGTATCCTCTGGTGTTTTGTTGGAAGACGAAGAACGTACCCGTGTAGTTGTTGTCGAAATTTTTGTGGATGTAGAAGCAGATCTGGAGTAACCGCCCAGACACCAGGGGAAACGCCATGTTGATGAACAGCGCATTACCACCCTCATCATAGTACTGTATCCCAGGGGTAGAGGCGGAGAACCCGATGGACGTCGTGTGGGACATGGCTGAAAAGAGGGGAGCGATCGTGTTGTAGACAGTGACAACGGGAGTGGAGGGAAGGCTAAAGTTGGTCCACTTGGCTAACCGGAAGTGCGAGGAGGGTGACATGTTTCTTTACGAGAAGGCGTGAAGTCAAGGCTGACGTGTTAAGGTCAAGGCTGACGTGTTAAGGACAAAGCTAGTGGTGTAGAAAGGAAGACCAGAAACTTTATTGTGATATGGGATAGGATGTCTGTGGAGTTGGGTGTAGAAGGCAAGAGGTGATTGTGTGAGAGAATACTAGTTTAAGGGAAGGGAAAGTATTTTGTTAGGGATGAGGTTGGGTTGAGGACAAAGGTATGTGGTACAATAGCAAGAGCAGAATGAAACGATTACAATGCACTTAAATATGAAATCTTACATTTAACAAATCTCAAACACGTCCACTCCGAACTGACATACTTGGAACTAACAACCCTCATCTAGAAGAAAAGACGATCGCTCACCCTCTACAGTGTCTGCCATGACAACTGCGACTGCCATTACTGTCACGCACGACGTGGCCAAGTGTTGTCTGAACGTCATCCTCCTGCTGGCGATAGAACTACGACAGTAAGAGTCTCAGTCAAAAGTCACATAGAAATAATTGCTATTGAAATCCTGTAAAGATTCGAAATCCAGATATGAATTTCAGATATTAAATGTTCAAATGGACATATCTCAGTGACGGTTTCTCTCAGGTAGTGGGATGAGAGCAGGGGGAATGACCAAACAGTCCTGTGAAATTATTCCACATTTAAAAGGGCTACATTTTGGCCGTTCCTTAAAACTTAAATCTAAATTAAGCGGAAGTTACATAGGCTACGTACACTTACGATTGTCATTGAGCTGAGATCTCTTGGAGTGAGTGAGTTTGGTTTTATGCCTCATTTAGCAAATTTCTAACAATATCACGGCGGGGGACGCCAGAAATCTGGTAAATCGAACCCGGGTCTTGGGCGTGGCGAGCAGACGCTATAGGCTACCCCACCGCGCCGAGATCGCATGGAGGATTGGGTCCCGATATCGAAGAGATCGCAGCTCAACATGGGGGTTGTTGCTATCGGGTAACTCTGACAACAACGTTGCCACTTTCAACGACAGTCGGGAACTGTTGTTCCAACTAAGGACCTCATTTCGGAACATGTGAATATCATACACGTTAACTCGGTATGTATGACAGAATATATTACCTTTCCCTGGCTTGGCAGCGACAAGTCAGTCACAATGAGTGTCAAGTCTCGGGTTGTCTCGTCACGTGAGCTCGTGCACAGCAAGGGCACTGACAACACGAGCGTGTCAAGGGAAACATGTGACTGTTGTTCATTTCAAACACCACATTTCTTAGAGAGGAAATCTTCAAAGCATCAACTTTTTATCATTATATAATCATTTTGATTAATAATCGTACATATTAACTAAAGTATTCGACATAGGGATATAAATAAACAGTTGGGTCGGGTCTGTATAAAAGATTAATGCATTCGGAAGTTAGTTGTAAGATATACATATACATTGTATCTGAACTTTTTGCATTGGTTTGTTTTTTGTGAGAAATGTTTCTTTTTAAATCAAAAGAAAAACGGGGCCCGGGATATTGATTAATAATTATGCTTTTAAGAAGATGTTTGTGTTTCATTACCATTTCTTGGTCAATCATAACAAGGGTAGACAAACACAATCAATCATGTTAAATGAAAGATATTATTACACACAAAATGTCTTTGTTAATTTCACTAATTCCTTATTCTTTGTGTTAAGTGGCTTAACTGTGCTGTATATAACTAGCTGGATTATCTTTTACATGGGCTGTTATTGATAAGATCAAATGCAGACATTTCCCAGTCATGGTGCAGGAATAGAATTATATATATTTGAAATACGATGCTAATAACTTCATGCCATAGTAAAGGAGTATAATCAAAACTGACTTCCACTGGACTGACTGACTGAGTTTGGTTTTACGCCGCTTTTAGCAATATTCCAGCAACATCACGGCGGGGGACACCAGAAATGGGCTTAACACATTGTGCCCATGTGGGGAATCGAACCCGGGTCTTCGGCGTGACGAGCCAACGCTTTAACCACTAGGCTACCCCACCGCCCCGACTTCCACTGGAGATATTGCTAGGTGAGATCAGGCGCCGGGGAATGGGTACGTCACATACGGTTTAACGTTTCGGCAGCCTAGTGGTTAAGGCGTTCGCTCGTGACTCACGTGTGAGGCCCATTCCTCGGGTCCCCAGCTGGAATATTGCTAAAAGCGGCGTAAAACCATACTCACTCACTCTACTAAATCTGTGTTTTCAACTTAATGTACATCAATAGTTACATCAACAGAATAAATCACTAAACAAAGTGTTATTTAAATACAGATCCCACTTCATAACTTTTCGTCAGCGTTAATGTAATGGCATAGTAGATATTAAGATAAGATAAATACCTTCCCAGTATATAGAGATATCATCTGTCGTACACACTCGATGGTAAATGTATTGAATTCTAAAACACATCATAGTGGTCGCCCGTCAGCATTGTTCCTATAATATGCATGTAATCTCCACCAAAATTGTAACAATTGATACTTTTTACCTTTGTTCTCTCACGTGACATTCTTTATTTTGTAAATCTGAAATTGGGACAAAATTACCATAACGCCCAATCTCCTGAATAAAATGTTTGTTTCTCAGATACAGAAAAAAACACAAGGTTTCCATAAAAGCTCTGCCTATGTATCTGTTCTAGTGATGGTACTCGTCCCAAACATCAGCACTTCAACAGAGGGAACTACATCCGACATGTTGGCCGCTGATGCCCACATTTCCTGAAAAGGATCACCCTAACGTCGCCAAAGCAGGTAAAATGTTCATTTCTTGACCACCCTCGTGATAACTGAAGGGGGTTTGATCCATGCATATCCCGGAATTTCGCTGAAACGTCATGTACTTACAGTATGAAAATAACTATTCCCTGATCTGCATGTGCTCTGATTGAAGAACTTTATGTGAGTTTACTTGGTTGATGACATTAGCCAGTAAATGAGATAAAGCCGCAATTGGTCATTTAGAAGTCTAGAATGTCAATGTATTTCACTATTTGAAGAATTCGAGAATTTCAAAAAAGTCAAAGAAACGAACTGAATCTCCTTCACTATCAACATTTCGTCCACAAACTCACTAAGGGGTATTTTAGATGATACTGTGGTATTTATTTTCGAAATTATAGGTCTAATTTAACAGGACAGGATCGGCCATGTGTTCTGTTTCTGGTGAACGAAATGTCATTACATTATGTCGTCAGTAACAGTTATATGGGTTTCTCTGGATACACACCCAGTCTAATCTCCAGACATACTGGGACCGCTTGTACTGACCCAGAGGTGTTCCATGAGAGACGAGTGAGTGAGCTTTACGTTTTACGCCGCTTTTAGCAATATTACAGCAATATCACGGCAGGGGATACCAGAAATAGGCTTCACACCTTGTACCCATGTGGTGAATCGAACCCGGGTCTGCGGCGTGACGAGCGAACGCTTTAACCACTAGGCTACCCAACCGGCCCCCAATGGGAGACGAAGATCATCTGTGTCAATGGTGAATAAGAAATATTAAGCGCCTTCATATTTTTCTTCTGTGAACTTAACTTTATTCTCTCGATGCAAGTGCACTTGGGTCCTACCGTCATCACTATCGGAATGGGATTCAGAGACACATACTTAATATGACATAGTCGACATCTTACAATGGATTCTGATTTCTAACTGTGGGTCAGAACATGTTTACCCTGTTCCTTTCATATTTGGTCTTTTGCGCCCAAAGAATTCTGTTTCGGCGGTGGATCGAGACTGTCGTAAGAGGCGACTAACGGGATTGGGTGGTCATGTTCGCTGGCTTGGTTGACACATGTCATCGGTTCCCAATTGCGCAGATCGATGCTCATGCTGTTGATCACTGGATTGTCTGGTCCAGACTGGATTATTTACAGACCGCCACCATATAGCTGGAATATTGCTGAGTGCGGCGTAAAACTAAACTCACTCACTATTAATAAAGTGATTATAGAAAACTTTTGTCTTAGTCTATTCATTTGGATAAGTACCGAGTAAAGTTTTTGAAAGGCATTTAGAAGTTGGATGAACATGAATACATGACACGTTGTATGGATAAGAACTTCTTTTTTATTCTTTACACTACGTTTCAGAGCTAATTATTGCTCCTTCATTCACCTGACGAAGGAGCAAGAATTAGCTCTGAAACGTCGTATAAAGAATCAAAACGAAGTTGTTATCCATAAAACGCGTCATGTATTCAAGTACCGAGTAGGCATGAAGAATTGGAATGCACTCAGCTTTCATTCATTTTCACTGCATGAATGTAGCTTGGGGACACACAAGCTTGAGCACTATCCAACATTAACTATCCAAACTTACGTTTAACTGCTACCAGTTGGTTTACCCTTTTCATTAACATCTAGACTAAGTGGATTTTTTCAGGTGCTTGAGACTGGTGCCACTGTTGGGTAACACATGTAAGCTTCACGAACAAATAGTATCATTATTTGAGAGTGATTCATAAATTATCATGATCCAGTCTGAATCGTACAATCTTTAAGCAGAAATTTCTGATAATGAAATGAATCTTGTTGCTTCTATTTACTTTATTGGTATTCCAGTTCTGCGCGTATGATTTGTCTTTAGAACACCATATCTGATTTCATATTCCTCTGGGGCGACATATATGCTTAAACATATTTTCAGCGTCAGCTTCATTATCTGTCATGTCTACTGCCCTTAAAACAACGAAATGTTTGTCATTTCTGTCGTAGTTGTGCATACCTATGTCGCAAGCAACAACAGGTACAGAAGAGACATCTGCTAAAACTTGGCTAGATACTTCGATTTACACTGTGTAAACATTGCCAGAAGTTTGTACCGATGAGAAATATTGCCATAAAAGTATTAATTATGGTATTCCCAGAAATTGATAAATTTGTTTTGGCAATTATCTAACACATGTATATTAACTATAGAAGTTTTACTTAAATGAATATGTTGAGATATGATTCTGTCACAGTCTAATTGTCTTTTCAGTACTTTGTGAGACCTCTCTGCCCTGAATTACACGACTGAATGCGCCTTGGAACACTACCGATCAAAGTTTGTAGGAAATTCGGACCTTCATTAGTCCCAACACATAAAGTGACATTCTCAATAGGGTTAAAATCTGGGCCAGATGATATCCGCACAGGCGGATCCAGAGAGGTGTGTGTGCGCACAAAATTCTGTATACTGGAGACAGAGGAATGTCATGTCTACGAGCTATCTCTTTTGCATTAGTCACACCCCTTTCGAACTCCTGTAGGACCAGCTTTCTTTTCTCTCACAGGGGGTTAGTCCTGTCCATGCTCAGCTTGAAGTTGGTCGTCATCGACTGCCATTTCCCCGATAGACAGTCGATCCCGGTAGGGAGTGAGTCCTAAACTATGTTAGATTTTATATTTCCAAGTAGTAAATGTTCATGAAATCGACTTGTCTTATAAGCTGAATGGTCGTGGATTAGAACCCGTATATCATATGGTCATGACACATTATATTTTATTTACATTTGAAGCATTTGTTGACACGTATTTCAGCGCGAATCGAAAACGCCGAGAAATCGACCACTTTCAACGTTTTTACAACATAATCAATTGAATTCATTTCACGTATTGTGCTAAATGAGGTTATGTAGCCACTGTGTCAAGATTTTTAGCTTCTGTCAAAACATACAAACTGAGATATTTGAAGACGACCAACTTCCGGTTGAGCATGGACAGTGCTTACCCCCTGTGCCTCTTCTGCAGTCAAATCTGCCATGCCAGCAATAGGAAGCCGTCTGCTACACTAGGGGAGATAAGTCTTGATGTAGTAAGGCTCATTCTTAAGCCTACAAGAGTTGAATCCCATACTGAGTACCTTTTTGTACATAATGTATACGTAACACCTGTTTTAAAATTCTATTATCAGTATTAGGAAACAAAGATTTTCTCAATAAGTGTAATTTATCTCACAAATATAGCTCAAATGTTGATTTTTGTTAGTATACTGTTTATGTCAAGATTAGACTCCTGTCATCACTCGTGTTACATTTTAAGTGGCATCTATCCTACAGATTCATTAAATGAATAGAGAAGGGACACGCGAGCTGAAACGGCAAAAGCGCAGATGGTCCAGAAATCTGAGGCACCACATTGACTGTCGTATGATTTGGAAAATAACTAGTTCGGATTGGTCAATAACAGGCTCCAAATCACTATAGCCACCTCTGATACAACACAGTTGATCTGGTACATGACACCTGAACCATATATTCACCTTTTCTTGTTGTCCGTAGTTAACAAAATGCCGAAGTTCGGATGCTACCACTGAAACTATCCGGAAGAACCAATACAACACGATAAATTCAACAAGAAATGATTCTGACAAAGTACACGTGTATCTGTTGCATGACATTAATTACAAGGTCATCCCTGGGTAGGGCTGCTGAACGTAGGTTCGCTCATGTCCCACACCACATTCTGCATCACTCCTGGGGGAGAGGTTACCGCGCGACCCGTACATTTCCGGGTGGAGTCTGTAGACCGAGGGTGACCTGCTGTAAGACTTCCTCGTCTTGTAAGCCAACAGAATCACTCCGATGACGATGATGAGGACCACTCCCAGCAGGCAGCCCACGAGGATGGTGAGCACGTTGGTGGTGCGGACAAGGTTCCTCAACGTAGCTGGCGTCTCCGGGGGTGGAAATTCCGACTGGAAGTCATAGTGTAAGGTGTTATCTTGTTCTGAAACGGAGAGGCAACTCTAGAGTTGTGGTCCGTAAATACATAACACGCTCTCTAAGTCCAGGGCGGTGGGGTAGCTTAGTGGTTAAAGCGTTCGCTCGTCACGCCGAACACCCGGGTTCAATTCCTCACATGGGTACAATGTGTGAAGCCCATTTCTGGTGTCCCCCGCCGTGATAAAGCTGGAATATTGTTAAAAGCGGCGTAAAACTTAACTCACTCATTCTCTAAGTCGATTTTTCATTATCTAAACTGTAAGGAAGATTCCTTGTTTATCATGTTTGGATAACCTTGGACCCGCAACCCAATCTTTGTTGACCATCATATATTTTGAGGGTAGTTATGTCTGAATGTCTTCTGGATACACAAAATGTCTCTCTTGAGACGTTTCCTCATTATTTACTTCATAAGAGTGAGTGAGTTTGGTTTTACGCCGTTTTTAGCAATATTCCAGCAATATCACGGCGGGGGACACCACAAATGGGCTTCACACATTGTGCCCATGTGGGGAATCGAACCCGGGTCTTCGGCGTGACGAGCGAACGCTTTAACCACTAGGCTACCCCACCGCCCTACTTCATAAGAATATGGATCCATAAAAATGTGGTGCCTGGGCCGCTTTTGTATCCAGATGAACATAAGAAGTGCGATAGCAATGACTATTCTCTCAGTAGTATTCGGGGGAAGACATTCGTGAGAGAATACTACCGCTTCTCACTGGTTTTGTTTGTTGTGTAAAACCGCATCCAGCAATATTCTAGCTAGATGACAGCGGTCTGTAAATAATCGAGTCTGGACCAGACAATCCGTTGATTGAGATCATGAGCACCGAACTATACAATTGGGATACGATTACATGCATCAACCAACTGGGCGAGTCTAATCACCCGATCTTGTTAGTCGCAACCCAAGAATGGGTTACTGAAGACTGGTTCTAACCTTCGTGGGTCGGCTACACACTTACCTTTGCCCAGGTCACTGAGGAACGTTCCGAACCCTATACAGATAAACGACCCAATGGTGTTCTTGCAGATCCGAGCCACTCTATACGACGGGTATGGACACACGTTGTGCTCACACTCGTCGAAGTCTGGAAATAACAGTAAACACAGACCCGATATATTCATGAGTCGTGGAAGGGGGAGTAAGAGGTCACTAATAAATGTGAGTGTGTGTAAATTACAGAAAACATGAGAAATTTGGGACATTATCTTAGGAAATAACAAGAAGACAAAGTCATCAATATCCGCCGCAATGGTAAAATACTCTTCATTAATATGCCAACTAGTGGAATACCCACAAAGTGGAAGGAAAGTATTGAAAGGTTTCACTACCAGACCTATCTATGTGCCAAGATTGGTAAAGAAACATTGAACGGTTGTAATGTTAGAGCTCCGAAATAGAGCACTACTACCAATTTCAGTCGAAGTCATACTTGTTGCCATGGAAACGCAAACAATATTTTAGTCAGAAATCCAAAACTACCAAAAGGCACCAGTTCACCACCAGACCTATCGTTGTGCCAGGTTTTGTGACTGACTGACTGACTGAGTTTGGTTTTACGCCGCTTTTAGCAATATTCCAGAAATATCACGGCGGGGGACACCAGAAATGGGCTTCACTCATTGTACCCATGTGGGGATTCGAACCCGGGTCTTCGGCGTGACGAGCCAAAGCTTTAATCACTAGACTACCCCACCGCCCCGCCAGGTTTTGTGAAGAAACAATAAACGGTTTTAATGTTCTGCTCCGGAAAAGGCAAATTTGCACGGACGGACTTAGTCCATTATAATACTCCCTGCAAAACGCGTTGCGGGGGAAACTATGGCGCGCCAGACAGTTTCAGACGGAGACGCACGCAAACACTATATGTCGGTATATTTCTTCACGTTAAATTGAAATAAATTATTGTAGAACGTTGTCAGTTGTCAAATGTGTTGGAGGAGAAATCTTTCCGTCCAAGCATCTTACTGATTTTACGAAACTTGTGTCAGAATGCATGTATCCCCATTTCGTTCAAAAGGCATCCTCATGAAATACTTTCACACCAATACAATACCTCGCTGCAAGAAGACACGTATCGTATCAAAGTAAAGTTGGTCTGCTATTAAAGGGGTGATTCAAAACTAAGCGTACTGACACTCGTTTCCATATATCAGCTGGATGACCTGTCTGCATGACGCACGCGATACGTTCAAGTTTGTTGCATTCGTTCGCAGATTTACCTTCACAGTTTCTCTGATTCGCTGTGAGATTGAAGCCAGGTCTGCAGCTGCACCTAAAGCTCCCTACAGTGTTTTGACACAGCTGCTCGCACGGCCCACCAGTGGCGCACTCATCCACATCTGGAAATACATGCCGACAAGGCGCCAATGTGAGCGAATGGTGTTTTGCGCCGGAATCTGCAATATTCAAGCTACAGAGTCGTGCAAAAAGTATTCGGACACTTGACGTAATTTCCATAGACTTACATGATTGTTAATTTAGTGTAGCATAAATAATTTTCTTGAATTTAATTTTCGTAAGATCCAAGTCAAATTTTGCACATTTGTGAGGAATCATCTTTCCTACAATCACATAATTTCTGTTTAATTATCCGTTGCTTATTTATCGAATGGCAACAATTTAAACAACATATGTACAGAGCCGTGAACTCCTTTAACATGGCGGCCTATGGGATTGTGCATTGTGGAACCATACGTAAGTTAATAAATGTGATGTCATTAATTAAACAGCGGTCGGAAAATTGAACTGAAATTATGTGCGCAGAGCAGAGACGATTTCAAATTTACCTGTCATATTTTACAAAGATCCATCCTAAACTCACTTCATGAAAATTATTTATGCTACACTGACGTAACATGTAAATCTATGGAAATAACGTCAAGTGTCCGAATACTTTTGTGCACGGGTCTGTATATCAAGACGGCCTGCTTAGTCGATGTTGGCAAGGGTGACATGAATGCAACTGACTGGTGTCAAGATTATGGCATGACTAACCTGAGATCATAATCAGGAGTTACACAATTCTGCCCCGCCATATCGACACACGAACTCACAGATCGAAACTGCATGTACATGTATTACATATCCAAACAGTACCGTCTCAACCTCAACCACCTATACTTCCGGTTTTCTGGTGTGTTCAGACCTATTTTCCAATAACATAACAGTTATTACTTCATGAAACAAGTAGAACTTAACTATCCACCCGACATGATAAATCTAGATATACGTCGGCGTACAATAGGAGGCTGAAATGTTCTGAGCCTAACTGTGCCTTGTCTTTTACAAACGGTGGTGTAAAACAGAGCAAATGAACATGCTGTATCTGGGACGGATGTAGAGACATTCGTTGTGGCCCAAGCCATGTATATATTTACCGACACAGCTGCTATTATCAGCGGCGAGAGTGTACCCCTCTCGACAGCGACACTCGTGGGAGATGCCGATGTTGACGCAGATCTGCTCACATGGCGAGGGAGTCATCTTACATTTGTCAGGATCTGAAATGTTAAAAATGCTTCTTTGACTAAAACTGGCTTAAGAGATAGGCTTTCGTAGTAACCCGTGGAAGCTAAACTACGTGCAGTAGTCAGCAATTTTCCAGCAGTCTGATGTCATCTTACCGGATGATGTTGTGGCCAGTGATCAGTACCACCGGTTATCTCCCACAACTTAGGCCGCCATATCTTAGACAGCCATAACTTAAACACTAATGAAGGGGATTAATTAAGACAACACCCATGGCTGAAATGGAACAGTCCTAATTAGTGTTCCCTGCTGAGGAGACCTAGCTTGTATTCAGAAGTAAATGATATGAACTGTACAAGCGGGATTAAGTTTAAAGATGCATGCTATGTTTTCATTTGAATATCTCCTCACAAGATGATACCTTAAGTGAAGTACCTCTGAAACAAATAGAACAATTGAAACTGAAAAGTATGTGTAAATCTCATTACATTAATGTCAGATATAAAATGTCCTGCCCCAGATTAGGTCAGTATGGCAATATGGCTGGACTTCGAAAGGTAGAGTTTGTTACTTCACAGAAGGGTACACCTCAAGTTCTTCTTGACTGGTATCTTTACAACAGAAACAAAGTGAGGTAGACCAATACACACTGGCTATGTGTCGCCACTGCCTGTACTGGCAAGTGCACCACAAAGGAAACATACAACTTTATGGATGACAACTTCTGGTTTATTTTTATTGAGCGACGTTTCGATGTAAATTCTTATATCGTTATAAAGCTAAAAGTGAGTACAACCAAATGGTGAGGAGCATATATACATGGTATGTTGTGACAAGCAGCAGATTTACATTAACAACATCATGTAATAGGTCATCAGCCCTCTCAGATCACCAGCAAGAGTTCCCTACCCATCAAATCAAGTTTGACGAATTCAAAGTCCCATCAACCAATAATCAGGACTTCACACAAAGAAAACTGTTGGAAGCCATCGAAATCCGTCGCTACAAACCTTTGATCAACCGTGACCAAGGATACTACATCCTATCAGCCTATGAAGAACTAATCACACTATAGGCCATCAATAGCATCCTGTCTATTTGTTGTTACAACTTAATCCCGCTGTTTGTTGGCTTCATCACTAGTGCTATTTGTTGTTTTAGTTCCCTACTGGCCTCTTCCAATTATGTACCACTTGTTATTTCTATTACATGCTGTTGTTAATGTTAATCTGCTGCTTGTCACAACATACCATGCATATAGGCTCCTCACCATTTGGTTGTACTCACTTTTAGCTTGATAACGATGTAAGAATCTACATCGAAACGTCGCTCAACGCAAATAAACCAGAAGTTGTCATCCATAAAGTTGTATGTTTCCTTTGTTGACTCACCAACTTCTAGAATGCCGATCAAATAATAAGTTCACCACTGTGGGCGACTATTGCCGGAATGTTAGCGACCACGTTCATCCCCCTGAAGCTGCTGACAAGATCAAGTTCGTCAGCAATTTACAGAAGAGAGCGAGGGAAGAAATAACGCCAATGCACACCCTCTACAACGACCAGGTATCCCAAGAAGATGATGCTGTAGTCCCTCACCTCTGAATGAACATAACGTCTTGTCTAATTGATTCTACTGGACTGATCCATTATAAGAAATAGGTATCAGCTTGAGGATTAGTTGTGCACTGAACCAGAAATGTTGTTGTTTTAAGCTGTCTAAGATATGACGGTCTAAGTTTTGGGAGGTTACCGTACCACCGGGTATGACAGCACCATCTGCCTAATTCAACCAATTCGCACACTATGGCCACCCGATTGTCATTTTCGTTAAGGACTTGATGCAATCATGGTTATTAGATACAAAACATCCAAGAGCATTCTAACGATTAATTGGAAGGACAATGTTTCTGTCGAAGTGTGTCAACGTATTGTTCAGTGACATAGAACAGGTGTTGGTATTGGTGAAAGCCGCACTCAACAATATTCAAACCTCATTATGGCGGCCTGTCACAAATCATGTCTTGACCAGACAATCCAGTGATTGCTATTGAGGGCAAGGATCCATCATAAAACATCATGCAAATCACTGAGCCAGACCACCCCATCCATCTAAACTTTCGACCGGCTTTGGTTACATGGGACCAATTCTACCAGGGACCTGGGTTATGTGGGACCTGGGTTATGTAGAACCTTTTCGTTGACAAACTTACATTTAAAGAGTTCCCCTTTAGGTCCGGTGGCACCGGATTCTCCTGTAGAGCATAAACAACATTAATGGCACAAGGCATTACTGAAAACTTGTATTAGAAATATGTTACATGTGATGAAGTATTTTTATGACTTTTCGAGGAGCTTGGCTCAGATGCAATATATTGGAGCTGCAAACGTGCACCAACAAGGTGTTTAATTGTATAACATCCAATCTGTTTGACATTCGAAATGAATCCCACCAGAGATAAGCACAAAGTTAAAATTGTAGCATTCTGTGTTAGTCATGGTCTGTCACCTTGATACAGCATTACGGAAACAGGGTGAGTGAGTGAGGTTTTAACATCATTTAGCAATATTCCAGCAATATCATTGTGGGGAATCGAACTCGGGTCTTCGGTGTGACGAGCTGATGCTTTAACCACATAGCTACCCCACAACCCGGAAACATTAGACCCTGATCTTAGGCACATACCATTTCCGTGAGAGAGTAGGGTGTAACATTATTCCCGTCCAATCACGGCGTGTTAGCTATATGTGGGATAGGAGTGAGTGAGTGAGTGAGTTTAGTTTTACGCCGCACTCAGCAATATTCCAGCTATATGGCGGCGGTCTGTAATTAATCAAGTCTGGACCTGACAATCCAGTGATCATCAGCATGAGCATCGATCTGCGCAATTGGGAACCGATGACACGTGTCCACCAGTCAGCGAGCGAGCCTGACCAACCGATCCCGTTAGTCGCCCTCTAACGACAAGCATGGGTTACTGGAGATCAATTCTAACCCGGACCTTCACGGGTACACATGTGGGATAGGAACGATGCAGGAAGTAATGCGTGTCTCAGAGGCTTACCACTTTGATATGGAATCTACGGGTGGTGGTAACAAGCCGAAAACTACGATCAAAACTGTCTTTTTGAAATCAACGCAGACATGACTTCATCGCGATAGTGATATCACATTATTTTATCATTGTTTCATTATCATTTTATTGTTTTTGGCTTGTAATCTCAATAATAGCACACACAAAAATAACTTACCCTTCAAACCCGTGACCCCTGTTGCCCCTGCATCTCCACGTGTCCCAGTCAGTCCTGGCATTCCCGACACACCAGTCTCGCCGACAGGTCCGGTACTCCCTGTCCGCCCAGTGACAGCAGCCGGACCCACGGGACCCGTTGATCCATGGGATCCAGAAACACCTGTAATGCCTGTTGGACCTCTCTGACCAGTGAGCCCAGTCATTCCTGGAACACCAGGTGGGCCAACGTCACCTATAGCTCCATCTGGGCCTGTTGCCCCCCTTAAACCATCCTGTCCAGAGGTGCCAGTTGCACCAGGCATTCCATTGTCGCCCTTATTACCTGACAAGCCTGTAAGCCCTGTATATCCAGCAGCCCCTCTTGAACCGGTAACGCCAGTTGAACCAGTCATACCAGTAGCGCCATCTTCACAACAATGCATAGTTACTTGCTTTTTGATAAGCTTCAAATCTTCTGGATTAGAAAAGTTTACCCGTTTACCAAAATAGTAAACGGGACCACTTCTGCCCTGTGCACCATCATAATATCCCAGTGTTCGTTCTGAACCATCACCTACAGGTCCAGTTGCAATAGAATCACCTGCAGGTCCACTTGCCACAGCATCGCCTGCAGGTCCAGTTGCCATAGAATCACCTGCAGGTCCAGTTGCTACAGCATCGCCTGCAGGTCCACTTGCCACAGCATCGCCTGCAGGTCCAGTTTCTACAGCATCGCCTGCAGGTCCACTTGCCACAGCATCGCCTGCAGGTCCAGTTTCTACAGCATCGCCTGCAGGTCCAGTTTCTACAGCATCGCCTGCAGGTCCAGTTTCCACAGCATCGCCTGCAGGTCCAGTTTCTACAGCATCACCTGCAGGTCCACTTGCTCACAGCATCACCTGCAGGTCCAGTTGCCACAGCATCGCCTGCAGGTCCACTTGCCACAGCATCGCCTGCAGGTCCACTTGCCACAGCATCGCCTGCAGGTCCAGTTTCTACAGCATCGCCTGCAGGTCCACTTGCCACAGCATCGCCTGCAGGTCCAGTTTCTACAGCATCGCCTGCAGGTCCAGTTTCTACAGCATCACCTGCAGGTCCAGTTGCCACAGCATCACCTACAGGTCCAGTAGTTACAGCATCACCTCTAGGTCCAGTAGCATCACCTGCAGGTCCAGTAGCCACAGCATCACCCAGTAGCCACAGCATCACCTGCAGTAGCCACAGCATCACCTGCAGGTCCAGTAGCCACAGCATCACCTGCAGGTCCAGTAGCTACAGCATCACCTGCAGGTCCAGTAGCCACAGCATCACCTGCAGGTCCAGTACTACAGCATCACCTGCAGGTCCAGTTACCACAGCATCACCTGCAGGTCCAGTAGCCACAGCATCACCTGCAGGTCCAGTAGCCACAGCATCACCTGCAGGTCCAGTTACCACAGCATCACCTGCAGGTCCAGTCACAGCATCACCTGCAGGTCCAGTAGCCACAGCATCACCTGCAGGTCCAGTTACCACAGCATCACCTGCAGGTCCAGTTACTACAGCATCACCTGCAGGTCCAGTAGCCACAGCATCACCTGCAGGTCCAGTATCACCTGCAGGTCACAGCATCACCTGCAGGTCCAGTTACTACAGCATCACCTGCAGGTCCAGTTACTACAGCATCACCTGCAGGTCCAGTTTCTACAGCATCACCTCCAGGTCCAGCCACAGCATCACCTGCAGGTCCAGCCAGTTAGCTACAGCATCACCTGCAGGTCCAGTAGCCACAGCATCACCTGCAGGTCAGTTTCTACAGCATCACCTGCAGGTCCAGTAGCCACAGCATCACCTGCAGGTCCAGTAGCCAGTTTCACAGCATCAGGTCCTGCAGCATCACCTGTCCAGTAGCCTGCCATCACCATCGCCTGCAGGTCAGTCACAGCATCACCTGCAGGTCCAGTAGCCACAGCATCACCTGCAGGTCCAGTTACAGCATCACCTCTAGCATCACCTGCAGCAGTAGCCACAGCATCACCTGCAGGTCCAGTAGCCACAGCATCACCTGCAGGTCCAGTAGCCACAGCATCACCTACAGCTCCAGTAGTCCAGTTCACTACAGCATCACCTGCAGGTCCAGTTACTTACAGCATCACCTGCAGCTCCAGCCACAGCATCACCTGCAGGTCCAGTAGCCACAGCATCACCTGCAGGTCCAGTTACTACAGCATCACCTGCAGGTCCAGCTGCCACAGCATCACTTGCAGGTCCACTTGCCACAGCATCACCTGCAGGTCCAGTAACCACAGCATCACCTGCGGGTCCAGTTACTACAACATCACCTGCAGGTCTAGTAGTTACAGCATCACCTGCAGGTCCAGTTACTACAGCATCACCTGCAGGTCCAGTTACTACAGCATCACCTGCAGGTCCAGTTACTACAACATCACCTGCAGGTCCAGTAGCCACAGCATCACCTGCAGGTCCAGTAGCCACAGCATCGCCTGCAGTCAATCCAATGATCAACAGCATGAGCATCAACAGGGCCCGTAAGTAGGTCACGGCACTTCGCGAGACCTTAGTACTCCCGTGACAAACAACGTACACTTGTTCCGATCTAGTAAAGTCATATTTGGCTGTCGCGCAATTTGGAACCAGAACTGGTTCTTGAATATACACTTGTCACCGCATTCGTAACCACTCGTCCCTTTACAGAAAGGAACAAGTAGTTACGAATGTTGTCACCGGAAACCTGGTACTGGAAGTAAGCTGCGCCCCGTCTCGCATATCGCAAGTTGGCGCGCGCAAAGGGAACCGGAAACCAGCTTAGTTTCGGAAGTAGCGCCTAGTGAAACTTGCAGGCCCAATCTTGGCTATCGCACCAAATAGTTACACTTGTGACCACTAATAGTTTGAAATCTACGTATCGACATTTACAGTGGTCGCCAGCGTAATGAAGTAGGTGATGATTCAAAAGGATATAGTCGAAATCAGGATGGGAACTGGCAATATCAATACTTACATTATCGGATATTTAGAACGCCTGTTTATAATATCAACGTAAAGATCTCTTGAACAGATTCCACCTAAAACGTGTTTGTTATGATGAAGCTTCCACATTGGTGAATTTCAGTCTCCAAACTCTTCTTACTATCAACTTAATCTTTTTCAAGAAAACTACCATTTAAAGTTCTTAAATCATCAAAGTTTAACGTCCTATCGAGAATACCCACGTACCGATGTCTACGATGGCCTCCAACATAAAGAAGTAGGTCTTGGTGAAGCTCCGACTTCCATAGGTCTGCCCGACAACCAGCGGGGCGTGGACATTGTTGGCCACCATCGTTCCGCTCTCCTGGTCTGGGATGGTGTAGGAGATGGGGCCAGCGTCCTGATCGTACATCCATCCCACGAACTGGCCATTGATGACCAGCGGAGGCTCGGTCATGTTGACCTAAACATGGCATAGCTATATTCACGTAATAATGTATGAAAGGACAGGTCCCAGTTCCACAAACCCATTGTAGCACTAACACTTACGGCTATCAGATACGAAGGGATGGTGGGATTATATAGTATGACCAAAAATTATTGAGAATCTTAGGAATATGTTTAATTGGATTTCTAGTATAAACAAACTTGACCAGCTATCAAGTGCTTGGTTTCATTCAAGACAGACAACTCCGTTAATCCTTTTTCATTAGTTTGTGAAGAGTAATCCCCCTTTGTTTACTTGCTAGCAGACGACATTTTCAGTGATCCTCAGTATGGATGATTTAGAGAACAGGAAGTTGATTTTAGAGTATTATAACTAGGACATCTGATCAGCTAAAGTGATTTCAAGTAGAACAGGCATCCCTTTGTCCACTGTTTATCGTGTTTTGAAAAATATTGCAAATGGATATAGCATTGAGCACCAGGGAGGCGCATGTATGGATGATTTAGAGAAGAGGAAGTTGATTTTAGAGTATTATAACAAGGACATCAGATCAGCTAAAGTGATTTCAAGTAGAACAGTCATCCCAGAAAATTGACTTTCGGTGACAGGAGGCGGCTTGGTATTCTTGTTTCTAAAACAAACGAAGGAGTTTCGAAAACTTAAGGCTGGATATGATTGATAGAGGAACTGTGGCTGTCTGTAAGGAGACAATTAGAACTGAGCTGCATGCAATGGGTTGGCAGAAAAGTCGAGGAATTCCATCACCGATCATGAAACCTGAACAAAAGGAGCGAAGGTTCAACTGGTGCTTACAGCATAGAAATTTTAACTGGGACAATGTGATTTTCTCTGATGAAAGTTCTGTGGCTGTTTCCTAATACACTAAAATTCTGGACCATACAAACTGCAAAAAGCATTGTATCAGTGAGTCAAGGAGCACTCAATCTGGTTGTGTTCGGAGATTCGAAACAAAACAATGCGTATGGACTTAGCAGTACGCATGCAATGTAACGAAACAAGAAATATCTTTACACAATGTACCAAAATAGGGAGCCGAACCTAGGGCAGTCAGACCAAGTGTTGTAATCTAACTCCTGGTCCTGAGAACATACATACTTACGCAATGTCTGCCCTGCGTGTTAGGGAAGACAACATTCTGCTGGAAGACGAGTCTATATCCTCTTTCAGTCTTCTTCAAGACGAAGAACGTGCCCGTGTAGTTGTTGTCGAAATTTTTGTGGATGTAGAAGCAGATCTGGAGGAGCCGCCCAGACACCAGGGGAAACGCCTCGTTGATAAACAGCGCGTTACCCCCCTCATCATATGACTGTATCCCAGGGGTAGAGGCAGAGAACCCGATGGACGTCGTGTGGGAAAAGGCTGGAGGGTAAATGTGGTGGTCGGTATGAGGTTGTGGGTAAGATGTGCGAAGTGTATCTGACCTTTGCAAACTGAGTGCAACAGACAGAAAGAAAGGGTGTGGGGGTCTTATTTGTGATAGGGAAGAAAACCTGGTGTTTTATTGCTGTTTTATTGCTATATGAGAGGTTGAGAGGAGAGGTTTATGCTAGAAAAAGACAGGAACAGGAGAGAAGGGCTTGTGTTGTTTAGGCGGGAGGATTGATTGATTGTTTGCTGTTTAATGCGGCACTCAGCAATAGGAGAGGAGAGGACTTTGTTGGTTAAGGCTTGGGGTAGAGAGGAGGGGAGGACTGTGTTGGTTAAGGCTTGGGGTAGAGAGGAGGAGAGGACTGTGTTGGTTAAGGCTTGGGGTAGAGAAGAGGAGAGGACTGTGTTGGTTAAGGCGAAGGTAGAGAGGAGGAGAGGACTGTGTTGGTTAAGGCGAAGGTAGAGAGGAGGAGAGGACTGTGTTGGTTCAGATGGAGGTAGAGAGGAGGAGAGGACTATGTTGGTTAAGACGGAGGTAGAGAGGAGGAGAGGACTGTGTTGGTTAAGGCGAAGGTAGATAGGAGGAGAGGACTGTGTTGGTTCAGATGAGGTAGAGAGGTGTTGTTTAGAGAGGAGGAGGAGGACTGTGTTGGTTAAGGCGAAGGTAGATAGGAGGAGAGGACTGTGTTGGTTCAGATGGAGGTAGAGAGGAGGAGAGGACTGTGTTGGTTAAGGCGAAGGTAGAGAGGAGAGGACTGTGTTGGTTAAGACGGAGGTAGAGAGGAGGAGAGGACTGTGTTGGTTAAGACGGAGGTAGAGAGGAGGAGAGGACTGCGTTGGTTAAGAGGGAGGTAGAGAGGAGGAGAGGACTGTGTTGGTTAAGATGGAGGTAGAGAGGAGGAGAGGACTGTGTTGGTTAAGACGGAGGTAGAGAGGAGGAGAGGACTGTGTTGGTTAAGACGGAGGTAGAGAGGAGGAGAGGACTGTGTTGGTTAAGACGAGAGGTAGAGAGGAGGAGAGGACTGTGTTGGTTAAGAGGAGGTAGAGAGGAGGAGAGGACTGTGTTGGTTAAGGCGGAGGTAGAGAGGAGAGGACTGTGTTGGTTAAGACGGAGGTAGAGAGGAGGAGAGGACTGTGTTGGTTAAGACGTTAGAGAGGAGGAGAGGACGCGTGTTGGTTAAGAGAGGTAGAGAGGAGGAGAGGACTGTGTTGGTTAAGACGGAGGTAGAGAGGAGAGAGGAGAGAGACTGTGTTGGTTAAGGCGGAGGTAGAGGAGGAGAGGACTGTGTTGGTTAAGACGGAGGTAGAGAGGAGGAGAGGACTGTGTTGGTTAAGGCGGAGGTAGAGAGGAGGAGAGGACTGTGTTGGTTAAGACGGAGGTAGAGAGGAGGAGAGGACTGTGTTGGTTAAGAGGGAGGTAGAGAGGAGGAGAGGACTGTGTTGGTTAAGACGGAGGTAGAGAGGAGGAGAGGACTGTGTTGGTTAAGACGGAGGTAGAGAGGAGGAGAGGACTGTGTTGGTTAAGGCGGAGGTAGAGAGGAGGAGAGGACTGTGTTGGTTAAGGCGGAGGTAGAGAGGAGGAGAGGACTGTGTTGGTTAAGACGGAGGTAGAGAGGAGGAGAGGACTGTTGGTTAAGACGGAGGTAGAGAGGAGAGGACTGTGTAGGTTAAGGCGGAGGTAGGGAGGAGGAGAGGACTGTGTTGGTTAAGGCGGAGGTAGGGAGGAGGAGAGGACTGTGTTGGTTAAGAGGGAGGTAGAGAGGAGGAGAGGACTGTGTTGGTTAAGACTGAGGTAGAGAGGAGGAGAAGACTGTGTTGGTTAAGACTGAGGTAGAGAGGAGGAGAGGACTGTGTTGGTTAAGACGGAGGTAGAGAGGAGGAGAGGACTGTGTTGGTTAAGACGGAGGTAGAGAGGAGGAGAAGACTGTGTTGGTTAAGACTGAGGTAGAGAGGAGGAGAGGACTGTGTTGGTTAAGACGGAGTAGAGAGGAGGAGAGGACTGTGTTGGTTAAGACGGAGGTAGAGAGGAGGAGAGGACTGTGTTGGTTAAGACGGAGGTAGGGAGGAGGAGAGGACTGTGTTGGTTAAGACGGAGGTAGGGAGGAGGAGAGAACTGTGTAGGTTAAGACTGAGGTAGAGAGGAGGAGAGGACTGTGTTGGTTAAGACGGAGGTAGAGAGGAGGAGAGGACTGTGTTGGTTAAGACGGAGGTAGAGAGGAGGAGAGGACTGTGTTGGTTAAGACGGAGGTAGGGAGGAGGAGAGGACTGCGTTGGTTAAGGCGGAGGTAGAGAGGAGGAGAGGACTGTGTTGGTTAAGACGGAGGTAGAGAGGAGGAGAGGACTGTGTAGGTTAAGGCGGAGGTAAAGAGGAGGAGAGAACTGTGTTGGTTAGGACGGAGGTAAAGAGGAGAAGTTTCTATAAGATGAGGGTAAGGGTAGAGATTGTGTTAGTAGTGTTGGTGGCAGATGGGACACTGGTTATGCCAAACTGAACTTCATTAGTTGAAGAGTTGAAACATAGTAATTACTATTATGTAAAGTATTCAGCAATGTTTAGTTTTAGTTGTCGATGACATTGAAAATAAATTTCTGAAGCTCTAATTCAGCCCTCAAATAAGTTCATCAGGGCAAATTATGTACCAAACCTTTGGTCGATCGTGTAGTTTAGTGATGACTTACTACCAAGTTTGTTAGTTTGTTGTTTAACGCAACACTCAGCAATATTCCAACTATATGTAAGCAGTCTGTAAATAATCGAGTCTGGACAAGATAATCCAGTGATCAACATCATGAGCATCGATATCTGTAGTTGGGTCACATAAGTCAACCAAGACAGCGAGTCTGACCATCCGATCCCGCTAGTCACCTATTACGACAGACATGGATTGCTGAAGGCCCATTCTAAACCGGATCACGAAGACACATTGTCAAAGCTTCAAAGCTGGATGTATGGTCAGGAACTATATAAGCTATTGTCACTGGTAGCCTTCATGCCACAATTTATACGATGACAAGGGGGATGGAATGCACGAGAAAACATAATAGCTCACCCTCGACAGCGTCCATCACGACAACTGCGACTGCCATCGCCGTCACACACGCCGTCATTCGATGAAGTCTCGGCGTCATCCTGAATGTCAGTATCGTTTGTTATACATATTGTCGCATGGGTTATGCGCATATAAGTTATGCGCAGGTGAAGTTCAAAGGTCGGATGTCCCATACGAATCTGAGTAGCCTGTGTTGCGAGTTTAACGGTCATCGTTGACCACAAGCGTTCAGCGTTAATTCAGATCATGAAATGTGAAAACCAACTAAACAAAACAATCAACGCTATGTTAGTATATAAGTGAAAAAGAAATGGGATCACCTTCCTCAGCTTGAGAACAGAGACAGCTCTAGCGAGCGTGAAACTCGTGCGGGATTTGCTTATGACACGTCACGTGAGCTCGTGCACGTGCTGGACAGCCTTTCTGGTGAAAATGTGAGATTGATGTTTCATTATTTATCCATAACCTTGTGTGGTGTTTACTTTTCGTATATTTGATGTCAATATTTTCACCCTGGTTTACTGCAACAAATGTTTAGTTGACTTGAACGTCCAGCACTAAATTTGCTTCGTTGGCGCTTATAAACAATCTTGCGCTGAGGGTCTTCATATTCATTTTGGCAGAAGGGGCCGTTGTCGGCACAGGTACTGCACATATGTGTAAGAGTTCCGACCGCAACCCCCCTCTTGAGATGTATTGTATTTATTAGGATTATTTCGAGGGTTTAGGGTTAGGGGTCTTTCTAAAAAAAACCCCATCTATTCTTAGTCATAGAATGATACAAAAACCAGGGGTTATGTGCAGAAAACCGGAACCGTATGTAGTTGTTCCAGTCCACGTGATCGCGAGTGGTATTGTGCATCCCGAAATATATGTTACCATTTATGCTCGTTTCTTATATATAATGCAATCGACTACATCACATACAATAGCATGACAGCTCCGATCAAGAAAGGCAGTTCTGAATGGAGTGAGTACCCTAGTATCTGTCGTACCGTGCGGATAAGACCCCTTCTGGTTAACATTTGACAATCATGTTTAACATGTAACATATGTTATACTTTAGATTACACTTTCTGATTACGGCACAAATTCGAACCCACACTCACAGAGTCAGGCACCTAATTGCTGGCACCCAAAGCATGTAATCTAACCCACTCAGCCACCGCTTCCTGGCTTCTGTGACTAAACTGAATGGGTTACATCACCGACGAAGGATCAGGGGCCTCACCCAGAGTGTGGATTCAAATCCGGGATGGGACTCAACCTCCTTGTAAGCAGCTAAGATTGTAGTCTGAGACAAAATTGCGTTCAAAACTTCAAATCAGGGTCTGTTTCACACAAGTAATCAGTTTTACCTTTGGTGATTGATTTCATATTGCATAAAACTGTATGATTCGCCTCGACACTTAAACAACTTCAGCAGCCCATACTTGTGAAGATGGCGACTAACCGATTTTGTTCATGCATGTTACCATTTCCAATTTGCAGAGAAGGATGTTATTTGCAAATACTGGATGGCCTGGTCCCTACTTCATTATTTAACCTTCCCTCATATAACTGGAAATTGAGAGTGTTGCCTTAAACAACCAACCAACCAACCAACCAACCAACCACAGTCACTTCAGTCATGTTTGATATATCCTTTACATATTTCACATGATTATTTGATATGGTCATGTCAGTTGTGAAGTTTGAAACGTGTGACATTTTGTTAAGTAAACCATGTGAATTGCAACTGCATATTTGACATGATATTGTAAAAGTCATTCATAAGACAACAGCTTAGAAGCTAGTACAGCACTGATCTGAACATTCGCCAACAACTGTCTGTAAACCATCAACAGCTAACTGACAGTTGCTTCTATAACACAACAGTATACATGTTTATGACTTTATTCCTGAGAAGGTGAGTAAGTTAGCGTACATGTGTTACGTTGAGTACATTCGTAAAGCCAACATTGGCAGCTTATGCATGGTATAAGAAACACATTATGTTAGAACACCAAGATGCCTGCAAGGTAAGGAGGTATGATAGAACCTTCCTTGCAGCTACCCACAGATCACAGGACGGATAGAACATGTCAACAAAACAATGTAAATAAAAGATCACAGATGTTTGGAAATGTGACCTTTATATGGGAAAGGATATGGAGTATTATGTATAGATTAGCTGTATATACTTGACTTTGTTACATCACACCAGGATACACACAGGAGTCGGTCTGCCACTTGGTAGGTAAGTTTATATGTTTTATGTTACAGTATAAAGTTAAGTATAATATCAGTTATACAGAAATACATATTTAAGCATAAGTATTTTTCATTCAGTAAATAAAGTTAAGTATAGCTGAACAAAATGTCACAAAAGAATCATGACACTGAAGAGGTTATTTTTCAATCTGAACTTTTTTGTGAATCAATACAAACTTCACAAACTGGATCAACATATTCATGCCTAAGTAAAATGCAAATATTTTAAACAAAACTGCACTAAACACACACACTGGCAGTGTGATGTTACACAAAAATATTTAATAAAAGACGCTTCAGACTGCATAGTTTAGACAAGTAACTATAAATGAAACTTTTGCAGAGAACAAAAATATGTGAAGTGTATCTGCATCCACCTGCGAAGAAATGCTGGATATTTCAATCAAATAATGTAGGCATTGTTGGGAGTTTCACAGAAACATATCCTGAAACTTTCAGATGACTTGATGGTGTAAATCAACCATGACAAACTGAGAACTAGTTGGTTTACAATGTGAGGAACATGTTCCCCAAATAATATCAGTGGTATATTTTGATTGTTGTCATTCTACACACTATTCTCTAATCAAATAACAAAAAAAGGACCAGTTTACACTGTTGTGTAACAGGAAGCACATGTGTAAACCATTTGCAAAAGCAAATCTTTCTGTCTGCACCATTTCAATGTTAGGTTTATGACAATCCAAACTAACAAACTTGTCTCTTAGCACCAAACTTCGTAACTGGAAAGATGAATTTCGACACATGGACTATAAAACCACAGTTTGATATGTGCCAGAGAACTTACTACATTCATATACAAGGTAGAAGAACCGAGCTACTACCTCTAGTGAAATAACAACGGATTGCCTGACAGCCTCCACAATACATGTATACCTTGGTGGAGATGGGCTAAAGATTAATTGACCCAGGGGACGAGCTCAATCACTACTGATTGGTTAGATTCACTGACTGATTGATTCAGATGGTCAGTGTGTGTGGTCAGGTCTCTTTAGCCATCACAAACAATCACTGCTGTATCTATCAGTTGTGCCTCCCTTACTCTGATACAACCTCATCATCACAGGGCATAAGCCTTCCTCACCAACCATCTCTCTCTGCATGAATACAGAAACTGTTACTGCAGGGCTGAACTGGTGAACTGGTTGTTGCACCATCAACTTACGTAACCTTATACAGAAGACACTGTAACATTTACGGACAGCACATGCCAAATATGCACTAAAACATGAGCAAAACAATCTAAAAAACAACATCTGCTTGGAATGCACAAATCTGATTTCTATGAGCAGGGAATAGTAAACAGTCACAACATTTTTAAACATAAGCCCCCTACTTTACAGAAACAATGACTTGACGATAGGCTACAAGAGATTCATATCGGTTCTTGGGTTCTCTTGCATCAGGGGTAAATAGCATTTTATCTTATTTCAGTGATATCAACCTTCTTGGTCCAATGTGGTGTTGTCTATTGACATAAATGCTGACCAACCATAAACTATAGAGGACAAAAAAGGGATTTGGAGCTATGATCAGCAGATCCTGGCACAACTATGGGACATAACTTGCCACATAAATTTGTCTTGTCTTAAAAAGATGTGTTCCCATCTCACATCAAAGATCTTTTGATGCAAAACATTAACAAAGTAGTTTTATGTTGTTAACCATGAAAACCATACTGCTACCATCCACCAATTTGTTACCTGAGAACCAATGTTTTCTTCACCCCAGTCCATTTGTAGGTTACACATTCAAGAGTACAGTTAATATATTACACATCTATTATGGCAGTTAGTGAGGACATTAAAAATGTAGACAAGGACTACACAGTCCAACATTATGCTGATGGAATGATAAGAGTGATCACAGCTAGGCAGAGAACACTAAAACAATGTTTGCATTCTAAACATTTAGATAGCGTATGTATAACAAAAATGAATGAATAAATAATAGATAAATGGTAAATGTATCACAGGTTCTATGAATGTACAACAGCTATCCACCATCAGGGAACAATGAGAGACTATCATGAGATCCATAGTGTTGGTACCACACTGCAATGTCCTGACGGCAGGTAACTATGCCACATAATATTCACCTAACAACTCTTTACTGATGGAGCAAGATTTGAGAAAAACAAATACTGACCTAGGATATAAGAGATCACATACGCATGAGGCATGTAAAATTTTACATTAAACATGTAATCCATTTTTTGAAAAGTATAATGAATTATAGTCATTAAATATTACCTTGGAACATAACTGTTGAACATTTTGGTAGAATTGAAAATTAAAATTTAAACAGAATATTTGCACCAAGTTAAGATGACCAATATTATTGACAGCTTCTGGCAATAGTGGACGGAATGAACAAAAACATGACTTCAATATTCGGTTGACTTCAATTAGGTTCATAAAAGACTTCACTGGAATGACTGTATTTTGTAAATATTTGAAAATCTAGTTGGATTTCATCCAAACTATGTGCATTTCAATAGAAAAGTTTGCAAAAGCACCATTAACATTTTGACATCATCTCATCTGATCTATTTCAACATTTTTAAAATTGACTTTTTAAAATCAGCTAACAATGTAACATGAAACAGAGAACAAAGGAACAAACAACATATTTTCTGGCAAAGTAATTCCCTCATAATCTTCATCTTAGGATGAGTGCACAGCTTCACAAATGTAAAATATCTGTCTGAATGATATCAAATGCATTAATAAGATACATTTGTTAATGTTACCGATGCTCCTAGCATTCATTACTATGGAAGTTCAGACTTCTGACTCAAGTTCCACAAAGTGATCATTGAGCTACAGTACTGAACTCCCACCTCCAATATGTTCTTACAAACTGTCACTGGCCCTTTAGTCCAGTCCAAAATCCATACCAGTTAAGGTATCGATGGACCAGTTGAAATAACTACAGTTTGAAATGGGTCTCTGTTCCTATCATCATCTGGACAAATGACTAATTTGTGCCTTTACTGATGGAAGTATGTAGGTCTATGGCTGCTTGTGGAACGGGACAGGGTCATTTGAAATCATCACGGGGATTTCCTGGGTGTGACGTTACCGCTTCCGGGAGTCTGCCAGGTTCCAGAGGAGTTGAGGAAAGCCAGGTAGATGGGACCGTTGCTGCCACAAGAGATGTCACTCATCTGGGAGGCAGTGTCTGGTGACTGGCTCCGGTCAAGGTCGTTCGAGTTGACATTGTAGTCTTTGGTTGGACTGATATTCTTCAGCGTCCCATCGGTGTATGCTCCAGTGGAGGACAGTATGGCCTGGGCTCGAGACTGAGAGCGGGATATCAAGTCATTAATTTCCTCACTGCGACTCTTGTACTTCCTGTAACAGAAGCCAATTCATCAACAAGATGCTGTTTGTCCACTAGTCATGATGAGGACAGTAAGGGACATTACCAGAGCTCCTCATAACCCACATATTTGCATAAAATATGCAAAATCAATCACCATTACCCTATCAAGTTCTATATGATTGCAAACAAATATGTATTATAAATTTAAAAACCCAAAGAGAATGACACATTTGGTGCTGCACATGAACAACGACAACTTAGAAGTCACATGAAATGGCATTTAGGTAGAACTGAAAAAGGAAAACAATTCTAATCAAGCTGTGAAAATAACCGGCAGACTGGATCCAAGGAAGCTATCAAGAGTTATCAATACTGAATGTGAAAGTTTACTCATGAGTAAATACCTATTAAGCTATTATAGTTATGATCATTTACACACCCTCTAATCCGGTGTCAATCTATTCTGTATTTCGGCACAACAAAGGTTTCCCAATTGACTGTTTGTACAGTAAATAACGCTCTCTGAATCGGCATCTGGTATCTCGGCTCTCCTGTTAATTGGCTGATTGGCTGAATGTGTATTAACAACACCGTGCATTACGCATTAAGCTCATTGATGTTGACTGATAAAAGGAGTATGGATAAGTAGGTGAGGTAAATTCGTGAGTGACACGTGTCACTTGTATTATAAATAAATTGTCGTGGTCACAATTTGTCAGTCATTCACCATGTCAAGATGGCCAGACCAGTCAAGCGGGCTACATTGGAATTAACTCTTGAACAGAAAATTCAGCTGATAAAAGATTTTGATGTAATTCCTCAGTCTTCTCAAAAAGATCTTGCACTGAAGTACCAAATTGGCAGCAAACAGATTCGGACATGTTGAAAAAAGCTATTCAGTTTGCTTCAGAATTAAATGTCACGACTTTAAGGTAATCAGATGGTTGGCTGGCACGCTGGAAGACATGATATGACATTAAACAGTTCAAAGTGAGCGGAGAAAGTGCCAATGTAGATCAGAGTGATGTTGACAAGAATATGATGACTATCAATACGTTCAGTCATATTTTATGGCACACGGAAGATCATTCTCAGGTTGAAAAGGGAAAAGTTCTCTAAATCAACACGCCCTCTATACCATCATTTTTTGCTGGTACCAATGCATGCCGGTTTAGAGGGCTTCCATTGTACTTTGTATTTATATAAAGAAGCTGGGCCAAAGTGACCCACCTGACACTGACCATGACCCAAGGGATTCAACATGTAATACAGATTGATCACAAAATGTTTCAGATCCTTGAGTCTCCATCTAAGTCTCTGCACATTTTGTTCTTTCAGTGAAACACAAGTTACTTTTGCAACATTACCAAACTTCAGCCAAGCAAATGAACTTGCCCCTAATTGTCATTATCACTCTTGCTGTGAGGCCTTTGTGCTGTCTGACATGTAAGAGAATGAAACTTTTGTTGTGGATCATATATTTTTTTCAACATATCAAAAACAAATTTAGCCCAATCTTCATAGCCTTATGAAAAAACTTCACTTGTTTCTGGTAACTCTAAAATAGACTCCCAACTCCAAATTGAAGTATCACATCAAAGTAATCCCACCAGCCGTGGCAGGAAGAAGAGACAATGTATAGCACTACATACTTCTCCGGGGAGATACTCTTGCGTCTGAGTGCAAACATCTGGTCCCTCAGCCTCTGGTTGTCATCCTCCTGAGACTTGAGCGAGCTCCGCGTGATCTGATGTAGTGCTCTCTCCGTCTTCAGTTCAGATTCCAGGGTGGCGACCTGCTTCTTGAAGCTGTTGGCCAACTTGATCTCCCTGTCCCGAGCCTCCTTGTCACTGGATTTCTGGGAGTCCAGGTGTTGCTGCATCTGTCGACTCAGGTCCTGGATCACTCGGTTCATCTCATGCCTGCAGTGGAAATATTTCATGATGCAGGCATCTGTAACACAGGCTGAGGACTTTTCTGTCTGGACAACTTTCAACGAAGTCATCTCAGTCACAAGTGTCATCATCTATACTTAAATGTCGAGTGGGAATTGTTCTCACTTGCATGGTGGGACCTAAACATCTTACAGACAAACTTATCTTAATTTACAAAAGGCTGAAAAATATAGGCTAACTAGTTCTTTACTGAGAACTGATACCTCTCTTTGTCAAGAATCATTGCAACATAATTTGGGGCTTCAGCCCAGGGCCCCGTTCCTCAAAGCGATCGTAGCGCTACAACTGTCATAAGCATATGTTAAAGTATGGGAGTTACAATCATCTTAGCGCTACGATCGCTTTGAGGAACGGGGCCCAGGGCTTGATGATACCCACACATGTATCAATATTATGGCCACTCTACCTCAAGCTCCTGACCTATTTGATCCATATCAGGACCACAACCTACCACATGCCCTTGTTCTCGCCCCCACTTCCCTCCTCGGCCTTCTTGGCCAGGAATGTGCGGAGTCTCCTCAGCTCCTCCTCCTGCTCGCTAAACCGGCTGCTGAGATCTGACTGCATCTGTTCCTCCACACGCAGAGAGTCCATGGCCTGCTTCAGTTGGGAGGAGTTCTCCCGCACCTGTTCCTCCAGAGACAGGATCTCCTCCTGCAGCTGCAACAAACAGGAGACATGCTGCATTGTGCATTTCTTTCTGGTAATTTCTTGTAGGTTGATCACACAATTGGAGACACATGCTACATTTTTGATAAAATTTGAATATTAGTATGCAACATATTTCCTACAAAGCCTGCATTTTGCTTCATATTGTGAATACTACATTCCACTTTGTGTAACACTTGTGCCACATTCCAAGTTTCACAACCTTACATTATCTTATGCACCAGTGTACACTGTAACCAAAGCATGCACAGTTACTCTCTTGTTGATAATTAAGGGCATTTCCTCAACTGAGATGCCAGCAGTAAGTGACTGACCCGAAGGTTCTCCTTGTTCTTGATGGCGATATGTTCTCGCGCCTGCTCCAGCTGCACCGACAGCTGCTGTGCCTCCTGGGACAGCTTCGTCTTTTCCGATTCACTTGTCTCTCTGCAAGAACAACCCACATGACATTGCAGGGAGCATTAACTGTCGAGGGTGCTCACACTACTGACTTCAGTTATGTTTTATTCCAATAAAGCTAATAGGATAGTTTGCCAATGAGAAGGAATAGATTCAAAGATTCACATCATCATGCTCTAACCATGGACCTATGGCTGTTGTACTTTCTGCATTAGAAGCAACAACAGCATGATCCTCAACAGACATTTGACATAAAATCACAAAACTACAGGTAAAATTGGCAACTTTGGTCATGGTATATCATGGAAAATGTCAAGAAAACCAGTCAGCTTGAAAACTCACAGCTGTTGTTTGATGTCCAGATTGGCCTTGCGGAACTTGCTTCCCAGCTGTTGTTTCTGGGAGTCCAGGAGATGCTGGAGCTTGCCGACCTCTCTCTGTAACAACATGATCAACAGTCCAACAGATGCTCAAATAAAATCTAATATACTGTGAAATAGGTTGTTAGGAGGACGGATAAGACACTTGTGTTGCATCTCTTAGTCTCTGGGTCTTCTGCTCAGTGTTACCTGACTACACTTTGTCTGCACCATACCTGGGAATCTGTTGACTTTAGTGACTTTCTAAATAAGAACCATGATGACTTCTATCACCAGCATTGATAAGGGCAACAACTAGCACCAGGGGGCAAGATTGCCAACCTTTGTCACAACATCACGGAAATCCTTGCCAAAGCCAGTCCACATCTATCCAACCTGAGCGGGCATGGGTAAAGGTCATTCAGAACACACCAGACTTCAAAAACATGGCCAACAATATCCTCCAAGACCCCACCACAAGATCAAGAAAGACCCTATTGCAAAACTCAACCAGCAACACAAAGCCAGCCTCAAACAACTGAAAGAATAGTATGAAGTCAAACATATACTTCACTCTTGCTTGAAAATGATATAAGAATCTTTACCGAAACTTTGGATCATTATATGATTAACTCATTAAGGCCGAGAGACGCATATATGGGGCAAATTAATCAGCTCCTCACAGCAAGTGACGTGTTTATGGGGCAGGTAATTAGCAGTTTCTCACAACGAGAGCCACATACAGTCGTCAACAGAAAGCACCTCTTATTCAGCGAGAGACGCACATGTGTGTTGTACTTTTAAAATTTGCACTGTACCTATTATTTCAACCAATTTAGCAGTACTGAGCAAATGTTAGCTTTTCTTACGAGAGATCCCACCTTTAGTATCAATCAGAAGAAGTATTTAAAGTGTTTTGATAACAATTGCTAATCATTATCATAGGCTTGTACAGCGTTTAGCAAATGAACGCATGTCGGCGAGAAAGGGGATTATGATGTTTTTACAGAGGTAAGTGCCTGGTACTCTTCCTTGGGAATGGATACTAAAATACTTCGTATGCACCTTGATTGAATTACAGTGTACTCTGTCAATACCGGCATCAGTCGGGACCAAATAAAAATGCCGGTTTTGACAGAGTGCCGGTTAAGCTAGGTTCGCTTATGACGCCTGCGCACACGGAAGTTCAGCATTATTAAGATGTTTGAATAAGAAACAAGGCAGTGTCTGAATGCACATTCATGTTGATTCATTCAAATAATAATGTCTGAAAACTCTTATTAAATTTCAACTGATCATATATTATCGGCAGAATTAATATTATAAACTATTTTTCGCAATGTTATTGAAAACAACGATTCTTGTTTATGCTTCGCAGCGAAAACATCTCGGCTTTCCCGCCTTGACTCGACTTGGCGGACACTATGCTTAATGCAAAATGTATACATGAAGCATTTTTGTCTTAGGCCATAACCTAGCACGATATGCCCAATAAGTTCCATAATTTACGATAGGTAGCGATGTCTTGCTTAATATGTTCAGAATACACGTGAGAATTATTTTACCCAAAACCTTCGGCTCTAAAAAGTTTTCGCTGGACGGTATCCATTTCCATAATATGATTGGCTGTTTAGGTCACGTGTTCTGATTTTGACCAATCACGACCCTTATAAGCAGACTGTAGTGAAAAGCCGTCGAAGAAACCAATCTTTATCCAATAAAATCGCTTCTACAAATGTGAAAATACTCTCGGCAAGAGTACAGTGATATTGTTGATGTTCAGAGCTTCTAACGATACCCCGCCATCAAACGATTAGCCTCTATGTAAGTGACACGCCACTCACTAATTAACAAGAAACTGATTGGCACTTCCCGCTTTCTGAATAATCTCGGAGTCAATACCGCGAATCAACAAAATGTAAACACTTGCTTGTTTTACAGTCACACTGCCCACTACATGTATTAATTACTCTAGGTAAGTGTTACGTACCACTCACTGATTAACTAGATGCTGATTAACACTTCCCGCTTTCTGAATAATCTCGAGTCACAGCCAATTGTGTTGTTACATCATTTGGACCTAATCTCATCAAAGGGTTACGCCGTCTTTCATGTGCCGGTTTTTACAGATTCGTTTTCATAACAACTTGTTCGTTGGGACTGAAAAACAATGCCGATATCCTGAATAGACAGATGCCGATGTTTACAGATGTTTCTAAATGATAATTACGTGCATTTCTGCCGGGACTGAAACTTTGTGCCGATGTAGACAGAGTGCCGGTGTTTACAGAGGCCGGTATTGACAGAGTCCACTGTAGATGTAATGGTTTAGAGGTTACTAAAAATTATATTCCTTTCAACTACCTAATAAATAGGAAACAATATACGAAATTTCAAGGACATACAAAGAATTCAAACACAATAGAATAGTTTGAATTTACTTTTTAGGCATCATTACGTTGTCATGTTTCATATACTGAAACATAATGTATTTAATAAACACAAGTAATTATACATCCAAGCTCGAATAGATTAAACATAATTGAACTTACTAATTTGAAGTTTACTGAATTGTAACTAGTTGTTTTCCATAATCTAAAGTTCATAATGTTACCTAAGAGAATATAAAGTGATAAGTCGCGCCTTTGCATCGAATACATATATACATGTCAGTGTTATTACAACAATGAAATCTTTTACTACGTTTGTTACAAAAGACAGTAAGTTGGTAATTCAAAACATTGTCACACATGGACAGAAGTAATATCATAAGTTATTACATGTAAGCCATACAAAGGTATTTCAAGCATTTTGTTCAAGCTGTTGAAAGTTTCATGTTGATTTGAATTGTCAGTTTTCTATGCAATTTACATGAGCATTCTGTAAAACGCTTTGTATTTGATCTGTGTAATTATCAAATCCGTGCAATTATCACGCGATGTATCAATCAACTCAGTCTCTATTGATCCATCGTCAATAAAAGCTGGATAGTATATCAGTTACAGTATCGATACACATGCGTATAATCATTCAAGCAGATTACAGTAATGAGATAATTGAAAGCCTCTGTCGACCTTGAAATAACAGCCTCCGGTAGAATGCATATGTAGTTACGTCCTTGTTGAAAGGTTTGTCCCGTGACAAGTGTAAAATAAACACATGCGCTGTTATATCATTGGACATCTTGCTTTATGGAGTCACGCCCCTCTCTGTGATGTATATACATGCATGCACATCTGTAATCTTATGAACCTCGTTTGCATTCAGTAAAGATATAGGCAGCCCACCTTCATAAATATTGGGGTGGGGGTGTCAACAACTGCCAGTTTATACACTATAATAATTCAGTATAATGTCACCTCGTGAATTCTGTAATGCGGTACTCTAGTTTGGATAGTCATTCAGATCAAGGTGAAGATTATATTTACATGTACAGCAAACCATTATGTTTTATGTACTAGTTGTGTGCATAAAATGGATATGAAAATAAATACTACCTCTACTCAGTGGTTGGATTTCAATCGCTTTGTTTTACTTATCGAAAAACACTAAAATGAGGACAAATAAACTGCAAAAGTGACTATCTACTCCTATTTGTCTTATGTGTGTATTTCATACATCGTTACCAGTGTGTATGTTTACAATACACAAACTGTTACATGATAGCTTGAGTTGATAAAGCCGAAACCCAGCATATCGACTTGGTCAAGGATATAGCCAATAACCAATCTCTATCCAAGCTGCTGAGTGACCAAACGTGCTCTTCAGAAATTTCACCACGCCCATCACCTGTCCTTTCCTCTGTGACAGGTATCTCATGATACGATTGGTCGCAGATAACATATGACCAGCCACTATACTGAACAGTTGAGATACCAGTGTGTATGTTTACAATACACAAACTGTTACATGATAGCTTGAGCTGATAAAGCTTAAACCTAGCATAATACGACTGGTCAAATATAGCCAATAACCAATCTCTATCCAAGCTGCTGAGTAACCAAACGTGCTCTTCAAATTTCAACGATATGTCCTTTCCTCTACACTCAATCTCTGATTGGTCGCAGAGTATCCAGCCACTATACTGAACAGTTGAGATACCAGTGTGTATGTTTACAATACCAAACTGTTACATGATAGCTTGAGTTTAAAGCCAAAACCCAGCATATTGTCTGGTCAAGGATATAGCCAATAACAATCTCTATCCTTGAGTGACCTCGTGCTCTTCAGAAATTTCACCCACGCCCATCACCTGTCCTTTCCTCTCTGTGACAGGTATCTCATGATACGATTGGTCACAGATAACATATGACCAGCCACTATACTGAACAGTTGAGATACCAGTGTGTATGTTTACAATACACAAACTGTTACATGATAGCTTGAGTTGATAAAGCCAAAACCCAGCATATTGTCTGGTCAAGGATATAGCCAATAACCAATCTCTATCCAAGCTGCTGAGTGACCAAACGTGCTCTTCAGAAATTTTGCCCGCTTCCATCACCTGTCCTTTCCTCTGTGACAGGTATCTCATGATAATTGATTTGGTCGCAGATAACATATGACCAGCCACTACATTGAACAGTTGAGATACCTAACGTTCTATTCGGAAATTTGATGACTTCCTATCACGTGACTCTTTGTTTTATGTCTATGCAAGGAATATGTAGTATACATTTTGTATATGTATGTTTGTATGGTCACGTATGTTTTCTGCATTAAATCTGTATGAAATAAAGTGCAATGCTATGAATGTGCTTTGTGCTAGTCACAGACTAGCTATAGTACTTTCATTAAAATAATTAAGTAAACTCTAGAAATGTATCGGCAAAACCGCTATTTTCAGTAGAAGATTATAAATTATGAAAGTAAATTCTTCTTTACAGTATGTCATTGTCATAGATGTTTTGTAAATTTAAACCTCACACAATGATATAAGAGAAGAATTTGTTAACGTGTGTCTCATCTGTTACATACAAAGAATACATGTGTATGCATATTGTGATAAAATATAAATGTACAAGCCGACAAAAGGTCTACAAGAGAAACTTGCAACAAAATTACATAAAGCTTGCAATACACGACATGTATTCACACCTGATTTCTTTCAACATATATCTTTACGACACAATTAAACAATCAGGACTTGTTTGTACGACTAGACAGTTTCCTGTGATCCCCGAAACCTGCCAGGGAAATCAGGGTGTGACTAGCACTAATTAGTCTCGGCACAGAGAGTGGACTATCATCGAGGGCTTCCAGGTGTTGAGTAGTGATGGGGCTCTCGGGCTTAATGAGTTAAGAAGATGTCATCTATAATGTGTCCTACCTTTCCTAGAAGCCTTTTCAGAAAGAAATATGAAAGGACTATTTCAGTATTTTTCATTGCCAAAATTTGTAAACAGACTTTGATAGAAGAATAGAAACTTCTCAAAGTTGAGCCCCATTATTGATTAATTATTTTACTTACCTGAAGAATGTCAACCTGCTCCTGCTTAGCTTTTGCAGCTGACTGGTTGCCATGGAGACTCGCCTGTAGCTCCTGCACCTGACTGGTCAAGGTCATTACTCTTTCCCGCTCCAGCTGCAGCTCCGACTCAACTCTGGCCAGTCGTGCCAGCTGCTCAGCTGTCTTCTCTACCAGGCTTTGCTGCAAACAAGAACCAATCCTGTTTATTACTTCATGGGCTTATGGATAACAATGTTGATCAGAAATAAATCAATAAAATATTAATCGTGTAACATACATTGCCTTTGGATGGAATAAGATAAGTTCATGGACCAGCTGCAAAGCTCTGTTCCAGAATTTTTAACTCACTGGACCAATTAATACAGATCTGATTTTAAACCCATCTACAAACCAAGGTTATACTCCAATTTGGGATCTTAGGAAAGCAATAAAGTTTGCTCTACTCCTATAAGGCAACCTTATACTAAAATTATTCAGCCTCAAAAAGAATCTTACTACACAACACGTGGAGGTACAGCAAACTTTACTTTTTAACTCTAGGTACGTAAAAAGAGCCCAACATGCTACAGAGGAAGCAAGAGTGAAATCAGGCTCTAACAGTGGATGAGTGACATCCCAACCACATCATGTCAAGCCATGTAATTACAACAACTCCTAATGTCCAGATCATGAAAGCATATAGTTGTACTGACAGTTTGGTGAACACATTGTTCTTTATAGAAAGGTTCACCTTCTTTTTCTTTGTGTCCTCGAGATGGGACTTCTGTGATTCTGACTTCTGCTCCAAGAGCTTTCTGTTCATAACCTCCTCTGCCACTTGAGTTTTAACCTCCTCAAATGACCTCTCCCAAGCTCTTCTTGTCTGCATTGAGTTCATTTCGATCCTCGGTAACATTTTTCAAAGTCATCTCAACAGCACGCAAATTTGCCTCTGCCTGCAACAGAATTTCACAGTAACTTGTCAATATTCACTTCAATCTCACATTAACAAGGACCATTTCATCATTCAAAAAATCAAAATAACAACTAACTGTGTGTGTTTTGCAACGACAATACTGAGTTTACAGATTGGAATTACGTGTACATTGCCATGGGGCGGTAGGGTAGCCAAATGGGTAAAGCGTCCCCTACTCAAGCTGTATACCTGGGTTTCGAATCCCACATAGGTACAATGTGTGATGTCCATTTCCGGTGTCCTCACTGATATTTCTGGAATATTGCTAAAAGTGGCATAAAACCATACTCACTCACTCACTCACATTGTCATACACCTACAACTTGCTACAACTCGCTTAGAACTTTCAGCGAGTGAGTGAGTGAGTTCAGTTTTACACCACACTCAGCAATATTCCAGCTATATGGCGGCGGTCTGTAAACAATCGAGTCTGGACCAGACAATCAGGTGATCAACAGCATGAGCATCGATCTGCGCAATTGGGAACCGGTGACATGTGTCAACAAAGCCAGCGAGCCTGACCACCCGATCCCATTAGTCACCTCTTACGACAAGCATGAGTTATTGAAGATCAATTATAACCCAGATCTCCACGTGTGTTAAAGTACTGTCGGAAATAGAATAAAAACTGTTTTTAGGCTATTACTCTGTATCCCTAAAATTTACACAATGGCAAATAGCATACGTTGAAATAACCCACATCGGCCTAAATGGGCGTTCAGTGGGATGCGTAATAGGATATCCAGAAAAGCATGTTTACTCATACAATTGGGCAAAACTTAGAAAAAATATGAATAGCTGCTGAAAACAATAGACCAGACTACAGATGGCAATTAGGTCGCTCATCCAGGTATGACAACGGACCACTGACTCAACTGGCATGAAATGCACATTCTGCCTACAGGCACAAGCAGTCATCTCAAAGATATTTGATGCCTTTTCTTGTGTGTTGAATATGTCGGATCTATTGATTAACATCTTACGTGCATTTCTTTCATAAAGTTTATGTTCAGATATGTAAAAGAGTATGATACCCATAGAAATGCATAATCAGTCATCGTATTAAATGTCTCAAAATATATAGGTGGCATGACCATCCGAAGATCGACAGGACTGGATATTATTTGTAAATTGTTATGACATGCCGTTTACTTCCCCAGTTTAATTCTCCTGAAGGATCATCTTATCTTAGCTATCTCTCTATACCCCAGCCTGACCCCAAACCACCGTTTGTGACACCCGTCCTTGTTTTGCTTTTGAGATGACCCCTCCTACCTGTTTCTGGTTATAGTGATAGTGAGACTCCATGGTAGCTACATCCTTAATTGTTTCACAATTAAAGTTATTATTTTTGTTATGTCAGCTATCGTTTATAATGAAGTTAAATCTAATACCAAAATGGGTATTTAAATAGTGTCCTTTGTAATACAATATCATCACCTCCAATTTGCATAAAGCCATGGTCTGTTCCAAATAAGTCGATTTGTACTTAGAAAAAACCCGCATTGCTCATTTCTGCACTAATCTCTCCTGAGTAAAGTCCAATTTTTACGTTTCCTATCTCCCTACCACTGAGACTATAGTTAGGCCGAACTTAGTTTAACAAATATTTCACACTTTCACATATTATCTACATAAATTGTAGTGTTCACGAATAGCGTCTGACCCTCTGACAAATCCGGCAGATTTGCCAACGGTCCGATAGAAGTATACAACTCGCCGGCCCCAGTGTCTGACTGTATATTTTACAATGACTTTGACTGAAGTTGTTATATGGGACATGTGACACCTGTTTGCTGTTTATAAATCTTATGTTTGTTTATACTTTCATTGCCAATTATAAGAAATGTTAAATCTGAAATGTGTGTTTAATTTTATTCTAAGGGTCCTGTGAATTTTCAATGGGTCAGACAGACATCTGAAAGTTACAGGACCCAATGTCCTGTTACTTTGAAACACCATTCGTGAACACTGAAATTGTAGATGTAAATGTGAAATAACAGTTTTTTCTATTTCCGACAGTACTTTAGAACTTTGAGCATCTTATAATACTGTGTTCATGTGTTTGTAGTTAAATGCCACACTCGAGCAATATTCCAGATAAACCAGTGATTATAATGTTAACATGCTACACTGCTAGGCACTCTGACACATAATCAATTAAGCCACCAAGTCTTATCACCAATCTACATATTCACCTTTACAACAAGTGTGGGTTGCATGGCATCGTTTCCATCCCAGACCCCTGACAATAAATCAACATGTTGGCCTTATGTATTTTATTTGATGGTATGCCACCCTATTGAATGATGAAACTATGGTGCTGTGAGGCCAAAGACCATGTTTGTGGGAATCTGGGATCCAAACCAAATATCAGCAGATCCTGGCAAAACAAAGGTATGCCATCCACCACAACAGATTACATGGTCACTGTGTCTGCAGAAACTGTATTACAGCTACACCCACAGCACACAATATCCCATCACAATATTCTGACAATAGTCCCAAGACAAACTCCCACCTGGTTGAGAGCCTCCCTGAGATGACACCGCTCCCCTTCATGCTGGTTCTTGAGTTCACTGATGGTGTGTTTGAGGTGCAGCACCTGGCCGGAGGTGGATTCCGTCTGAGTCCGAAGCTGCTCCTGGGCACTGAGGTAGTTCATCTGAGTCTTTGCCAAACTCTCCTGTGGATAACACAGGCCACAATAGTTACATGCAAAACATATTACATCGTTTGGAACAAAGGTCCTCTAGTATTTACCCCTTCACTTTATCTTGCATGCTTGTTCAAATAGTGTAGTATAGTTCCATGATTGTTGGTAAGGTAACAGTCAGGAAATTGTCAAACTTTGTATATATTACATTTCCAAAAATGTAATTTTTTAAGTAAAATTGATATTTTTATACTTATCCTGACTCATGATCTTTTGCTTATCTCCCTTTCCTTTTCGAATGGTAGTGGAATACTTGAATCCCTTTGAAGTTCCCGAAGCGGACATAAAAATACACTCACCCACGAGTTACCTCCCTTTTGCCCTTTTCCTGCACAAACAGTCATGTGACCAGCCTTACTGGTCACTCTCTCCTAATTTTCTGCCCATGCACTTGGATCTGCTGTGAAATCCAAAGTGTCTTCAGCGGGGAGGTTGGGAGGGCTTCTCGTCATGAGTCAGGATAAGTATAAAAATATCAATTTTACTTGAAAAATTACATATTTTTTCTTGTCCTGACTCATGATCTTTTGCTTATAGAATCTGACGGATTGGTGGTGGGTCAAGCCATTTCGTGGATTCATCAGCTGTCCTTAGATACTTCCTGTATCCCCCCCATGGGAACTGCGAAACGACATTTCCGTGATCCTATTCTTCCAACTTCCGTTATAACTCAGGGGGACCACTGTCTTGTCTTACTTCAGTCTCAGACAAGTTGAATTATGTTGATTCATGTGGCTACAGATAAACTAGTATCTTCTTATTACTAGATATCTTATAACAACCCATAGATTATGATAATTATCTTTATTATACATGAGTTGCGTCCCCTTCACGTACAGGTAAGATCTTTACCAGTACAGGATCTTTAATCACTCATGCTAGCCTGTCCTAGACTGTGCGCATGGACTTTCAAACTAATGCTTTTCCTTAGTAAAAGTTATCAACAAGTCAACGTGATAAAGGGTGAGATTTTCCAACTCAGCACCTTTGAGGAACTGTTAGTTGCTGTGCTACAACGAGAGGCCCAAATTGGTGAATGCCTGAGACGTCTTCAGTGGCTATGTCTCAGAGGTAGTGGTTGGCAAACACTGTGTGCGACTTCCAAAAGCAGCCTTCCATAATTGTTGGTATAGAGCAATTTCCATGCAGAGCTAGTGTTGATGCCAGTGCTCTGACTTCGTGTGGGTTGGAAGCTCTAGGAGGTTCTAGTCCTGCTGCTTTATAGGCTCTCAATATGACGGCTCTCATCCAGAACGATATCGTCGTTCTTGAGACTTCTGCTGATGTCTCTGTTGATAATGGGATGAACAGGCGCTTGAATTTTTATCTCCTTGTCTCAGTCTTTTGAAGATATATCTTCAGGGCTCTGAACGGACACAAGGATAAGTCTTCTACATCCTCTGGGCTGAGGATTGTAGATAGCGCTGGTATGTGGAACTGTCTATCTGGCTGATCAGGTATTTGGTTCTTGGCAATGAAGTCCCATCTAAGTCCTAGATGAACTGCAGCATGTTACCCCTTGTTGAATCTGGTTCGACCGTAGTCCAGCCCATGTATCTCTGATATTCAAGCTGCCGTGGCTAGCGCAGGCAGGAACAGAGTCTTCTGTGTCAGCAGCTCGAAGGTAGTCTGGTCTAGAGGTTTGTATGCATCACTGGTAAGATGACGTAGAATTACATTCAGATCCCAGGCCGGAGATCTGAACTTCTTTTGCTGGTCCTCCAGTTTAAAAGATCTCAGCAGAGAAGGTAATTCTGATACTTTTGTCAAATTGATGCCTATTTTCATGGTAATCACTGTACTGATGGCGGCGAGGTATGTAGATAATGTTGAACCTTTCAGATGTCTGGTCTGTCTAAGATGACACAGGTATTCCGCCACTTGAGGATGAGTAGCTTTCATCGCAGTGAAGCCTTTCCGCCTTGCATAAGTCTCAAACTTCAGCCACTTGTCATCGTACAGGTTACCAGTAGATCGGCATAACGCTAGCGTTACTGCCTTGGCTGCCTTGGCGGAGTATCCTCTTTTCTTCAAACATGTTTTGATATGGTCCACACAATGTAGCTGGAACGCTGTCGGGTTCCCGTGGACTTGCTTGGTGTGCAGATGTATGAGTAGGTTCGGCAAATCTGGTAACTTGATTGTTGGACTTCCGAGATCTTCTATTAGGTATAGGAACCATACTCTCACTGGCCAGTATGGCGTGACCAAAGTCAGTTGTAGCACCTGTGTCTGTTTGATCTTCAACAGTACTTCTGGTAGTAATATTAAGGGTGGAAATGCGTAAGCGTTTAGTCCTTCCCAAGATATGCTCAGTGCATCTGTTGCCAAGGCTTGAGGATCTGGAACCGGTGAGACAAACGTCTGTAGTTGTTTGTTGAACCTCGTGGCAAACAGGTCTATGCAAGGGGATCCTATTTCCCTTATGATGAGCCGGAACACTTCTGGATTGAGCATCCATTCCGTAGGAGGCGGGTGCAGTGGTCGGGATAGAGCGTCTGCAAGTAACGTACGTTCTTGGCTCCGGGTATGTGACACGCCTTTATAATAATAAAAATAATAATAATAATAGTGCCTATGTATAGTGCGCACAAATCCACGCTCGTAAGCATGCTCATGGCGCTACAATTTTTACAAACCTGGAGAGGTTATGAATTCTTTGAAGAAAAGTCCTCCTTGGGGTACATATAAGCATTAAAATGTCCATTTTAAAAGCCTACGACAGTTGTAACAATATTTCAATAAAATATTTTACCAAACAAAAAACTCGTTATGTGTGGTGAGACCACCCCTACAGGGCCCGTAGAGGGCCCCCACAGCCAAGAGCAGGTAACTCTGGCTGTGTACCTCGTACCTCACTTTTCATGCTGAACGTGTCAGACAGAATGAGGGGAGGAGGTGAGGAGACCCCAAGGAGGACTTTTCTTCAAAGAATTCATAACCTCTCCAGGTTTGTAAAATTCTTTTCAGAAGAAGTCCTCCTTGGGCCACATATAAGCATAAGACAGACTCCCCGAACGATGTTGAGTCGGAGTGGTATTCTGTCTGCCTAACATACCCCTAGTTCAGTCGAGGCACAGGTCGGAAGCCGCGACAGAGAGAGAAAGTACACTCACCTAGTCACCTGACCGCTGATGTCAATCAGGCAGGGCGGGCAAGGCTGAGGGAAAGGAGCCTAGCCGATAGGCTATTGGTGGAATTTATAAAGTGGGGCCTTAAGTCCCACCCCCAACCATCAAAATGGGAGGGAAAGTATGGGCGAGTCCAATATATATATCCCTCAGCAGCCGAAACCAGCGGCGTGGTGCAGGGATGAACACAGTGACTGACTGTAGCGGTGATAATCGCTACATCACGGTAAAACCACCACCAATGTGATACCACCACCCGATAAAAATTGAGGAATTATTAACACCTACACCATGAGAAAAGCAAGCGTGATTTCTAAGGCTCGATTCGGCTAGAGAATCACGACACTGCCACTAGTGAGAACTGTCTGGCCAAACCGACCGAACGCGGCTCCGTGAGTGTTTGTCCAGCTGATAGTGGCGGATGAAGCGTGCCGGTCGGCTCCAGATAGCGGCTGAGCAGATTTCCTCAATGGGCAGTGCCGCTGAAGTATGCTTTTGATGTAGCCACTGCCCTGTCGAATGAGCCTTTAAACCCTGAGGGATGGTTAATCCTTTGTAGAGTAACTCGAACAAATGGCAGAGACAAGCCACCTAGATATGGTCTGCTTGTTGGCGGAAGACCAACCTTGCACACCGCCATAACAACAGAACAGCTGCTATCTTTCCTGATAGCAGCCCGTTAAGTTGATATAAACCTTGAGAGTCTTCACGGACATCTAAAGGCGTGAAGCACGCCCGAAGAAGAGGTACCCGGACCATGGACAACCCTGGAGGCTGAGTGAAAGCTAACTTGATTCGATAGAAGCGCCGTTATATGAAAAGCGCCTGCGACCTTAGAGACGGTAGAAGTCTGTCAACCCGAATACTGACTCTGTCTTTGTGAAAGACAGTCAGAGCAGGATCCGCTGACATCGCATGGATATCACCTACCATGCCAGGCGTTACCGCCACAAGAAGGCAGCCTTCCAACTTAACAGCTGGAGTGAAAGGAGGCGACAGATCGTGAAAGAAGGACGGACATCAATCAAGAAGCGATTGACAAGTCCCGAGAGGACTAATCCGCCGGACAGTCCCGGACGGATTCTGTCCACGCCACTGCTAAAAAGCTTGTGCGAGAGGTGCTGCCCCAAAGAGAGCACCGTCGGCAGGGATATGGAAGGCAGAGATTGCCGTGGAGTAGCCGGATAGTAAGGCAGCGGCTAAACCGGACTTCTAACCGAGACTGCAAGAACTCCAGTACTTCAATTACAGTTGAAGAAAAGGATCAAGAATCCTCTGCCGACACACCAGCGGCGCATAACAGGCCCATCTATCCTCATACTGAGCGTTTGTGAATCCTCACCAGAAGCCAGAATTATGTCTGCAACTGGTGCAGGAATTCGCTTCGGCGTGGAGGCGATTCGGACGAGGCCAGGCCACCCACTGAATCCTGGGATTGAGGTGCGGCTCTCCCGTTCTGGGATAGTAAGTCCGGTCGAAAGGGTAATAGTACAGGAGGCTGAGCCAGAAACCTGAGTAGTACCGGAAACCAGCTTTGAGCGACCAAAGGGGTGCAAGGAGCACAAGAGGTCGAGCTGGTTGGGTGGCAAGCTGCAAGAGGGACTTTGGGGAATCAGGGGGTAGTGGCGGGGAGCATACAGAACCTATCCGTCCAATCGAGCTGGAAGCGTCTTGGCGATGGCTCACCGGATCCGGTATCCGAGCAAAACACCGGAATCTGGTTAGTCCCCAGATGCAAACAGATCCACCTGGAGCGACCGAACAACTGGGAGATAGCCCGAATATCCCCGATGGAGCATCCACTGCGTGTGGGGCCAGGATACTGACGAGAGAGTGCAT